CCAGCCTGCTTTATACACACACTTAACAGATACACAAATAACAAATTCGACTCAGACCTGTCATGTCTATTTTGGTCCCAAGGGGGAAAATAGAAAAATGATACAGAGAAAAATCTGAAATATCTGAAATGCCTATAGTGACTGATAGTATGTAGGCAGAGAGCAGATGCCACCTGCAAAAGAACTAAGTTTTGCTTTTTTTCCCCAGCCTCCTTTTTGAATGGTTGTAGATTATTCATATGGGTACAATTCACAGTCTTAAGACAGAACATTTGTACTAACATGTATAAATGCAGAGATTTTTCTACTTTCGGCCATACATGGTTTTAAAAATCAGGGTACAGGAAGTACATTTTGCTGTTAATTATTCATTTCATAATTATATGTGAACAACTCCTTGATTTCTCTTGGATAGTGGTGATGTCACAATGGAATCCTTACTTAGTTTTTCCATTTAGGGTGGAGATGATGTCATGGCCTGTGTTCATGATGACAATGGAAGAGTCAGAATACATCATTTCTACAATGTTGGTCAGTGGGCAAAAGAGATCCGAAGGAATCCTGCCAGAGATGAAGAAGGTATTTTTGAAAACAATCGTGTAACGTGTAGATTCAAACGTCCAGTGAAAGTTCCGAGAGATGAAACAATTGTAGATCTTCATCTGAGTTGGTACTATTTATTTGCTTGGGGCCCAGCAATCCAGGGTAAGTAACTTTTTGTGTTTCTGTGAGTACGCATTTAACAGTATTATTGCAAAGTAATAGCAGGATCCATAAGAAACTTGTCAGGAAGTCTTTGATTAGTGGTGGAGAACTAACTGATTAAATAATGAATTGCCTGTGATGACTAAACTTGCAGTCATGCAGTGGTGAGGACCTACAGTGAACTACATAGTGGTATGCACCTAACATTCTCTGCATTACTTGGTACTTCTACTGCAGAAATGCAGGGATTCTTTTAGAAACTAAATCAATGTAGAAAGGGTTCTTTGAGTGTTGACAAGTTTGAAATTGTAAAAAAGAAACACATCCTGGAAAGTAAATCAAGATAGCTTGCAAAATTACTTCTGTGTCACATTTCAATTGTAGGAGAATAGTCCTGCATTAAATCATTCCCTGTCACTTAGCAGTTACTATGATAGTTGTTTTTTTTTTAAAAAAATCTGGCAATTCCAGCTACACTTCTAACATCTTTGGGTGGCACAAAATATTGCAATATAGAAATGGCCTAATGTGATATACAACATGGAACGCTTTCCAGAAGGATAACCATTTTAGCCAGTGGCTGCATTTGCACATAGTACCAAATCAATAATTGTTTTCAACACCGCTGATCTAGCATGAATTATTTTGCAGACAAGCCACAGCATCTTTTGCCTATCACTGCTTTGTTCCTCCCCCACTGCCTGTTCCCCCTTGATTTTCCAAACAATCAATCAATTAATTAATTAAAACCACATCTATCCTGTCTTAAACCAAAACAAGTCTCAAGACAGCTCACAATGGTAGCAGCACAGTTACAATGTGAAACATATGATAAAAGTCTAACCTTAAAAACACTATCACACCTTAAAATACTGGGAAATAGAAAGGTTTTGGCATTGGTGCTGAATCAATACAGCGTTGGTGGCAGGTGCACTTTTCTGGGGAACAGGTTCTAAAGCCGAGGTTAGCTACCATAAAAAAGGCCCTTCTCTGGGTAGCCACTCTTTTAACCTCCTTCAAAGAGGGTTCCTGAAGAAGGACCTCAGTGGACGATCTTAAGGCTCAGTCAGGTGAATATAGAAGGAGATGCTTCTTCAGATAGCTAGACCTAAACCATTTAGGACTTGATATATCAAAGTCAATAGCCTGGCTGGTCTATTTTGTACCAACTGAAGTATCTGGACCATCTTCAAGAGCAGTCTCATGTAGAGCACATTAGAATTGTCCAACCAGGAGATTACCAGAGCATCAGTTACTGTTGCTAGACTCTGCTCATCTAAGTAAGGGTGTAGTTGACCGCCTGAAGCTGGGTGCTTCTCACCGCAGCAGCTACCTGGAACTCCAGAGGTAATTCAGAGTTGAGGAGCACTTCCAAACTATGTACCCTATTCCTTAGCTGGTGTGCAATGGGAATGCATCTGGCAGTTCATATATAATGTAAAACTCTTACCCCAGCATTAGGAAAAACCAAACTCCAACATTAGTTGTTAAAGCTACAGAGTTCTTGTGATGTCTAGTTTGAATCCTCTCTTCCATAGGAAACAGTCTCTTTCTTCTGCTATAGAACCTATATATCTGATTCCAAAGTGTGTGACATTCTGTCAGTCTTGATCATTTTTTTTAAAGTTTTTATTAAAATTTTCAAACTAACACTAAAAACATCAATCATCAAAGACATCAGACGTGCTGGGTCAGCCCCCTGCTCATTTTTTTTTAAAAATTCCATAGTCATATTCAGATCTACGCAAAATCCCATTTCTCTAGCCAATAGTAAAAAGAGTTCCAAGTTTGGTAGAAATATGTATTTTCTTTCTCCTTCAGAGATAAGGTCAGTCTGTCCATTTCTGCGCAATCCAACATCTTTTTAAAGTCAGTTTATCCGTAGGTGGCTCTTCACTTGTGTTTACATTTCCAACATCTATTTGACATATTTACAAACATTTCTGCTAATCTATTTAACGATGCACACTATCTATAAAACGTATCTATCCTTCTATCTATAAAACATTTATAAAGGTTTTCTTTATATGAAGTTACTATGGTGACCTTAATATTTCTTTCCCACAGCTTTTGTGACTTCTATAACTCAATATTATATCCAACATTTTGTGCCCATGTTATCATAATTTCCTTAACTTATTCATCTTTCATTTGCATGCCCAAAAGGAAGTTATACAATCTTTTAATCATTTTTTCATCTAATTTTAACATCATTTGATCAAATGTTATTAATTCCTAAATCATGCATTCTATAGTCTTAACATATCACGATTACATTGGAACTTTATGCTACCAAGAAGTGTGTGAGGAGGCAGGGGGGACTCACCCCTTTTCCTAGGGCCTTCCACAGAGCAGGGCCGAAGATAACAGGGCAAGGCTAGGAATCTCTGTGGGAGAGCAACTTGCGAGAAGACAACAGCCAGGAGACACATGCGAGCGCACAGCTGTACGGGATTGCAGACTGAGGCAGGAACAGCTGGGTTGGGTGGAGTGGTGCAGGAGGGTGGATAAAGGAGGAGAGAGAGGGTGAGCAAGGGAACGGAGGAGAGGAGAGACGTATGTGGTTGGAGGAGAGCGGGCAAGGCGGTCAGTCGCTGGCAGGTGAGCCAGCACAAATTTATTCAACCTGTTTGTTGCCATAGCGACAGGAGGGAAGGGAGCCAGAGCAGGCCAGGCCAAGATGCTTCGGGAAGCGAGCCAGTGAAAGTGTAAAGAGGCAATAAAGACCCGATGAGTGCACTGTCCTTCTGGTGTTGCTCTTCATGGAAAATCAAGGAAGAGGTAGCTTTAGCTGGCATCCCTCTCCTGACACAGTCACAAAGTGCCAACACCCTTACCACATATAAGCATGCCATCCCATTTGTAAATCATGCCCTTCAAGATATAACATTCTCTTATTTCTTGGAATTATCCATTCTCCCTCGGAAGTTTATGCTTTCTATCATAGCTTAAGTTGACACCATTTTCCCCACTTTCCTTTTGTTCAGTTTGTTCATCAAGAGCATCTGCTAGCATAATGCTCATTAAGTCCCTTAGATTTTCATTTTTTGCCTCTGGTATATCCTGAAATCTTAGATAGTTAGACACCTTCTTCATCTCCAGTATGGCAACTGAGTCCCATAATGACTTATTTGTTTGTGTTAATTATTGCATCTCTTTATTCATCTTTTCAGTTTTCTTGTCAGTATCATCAATCTTCTTTTCCGCTTCTTGTATTTTTTGTTCATTTTGTTTTGTTTTAAATCGAGTATCTGCAAGTTGCTTATTTATATCCAAGATATGACTATCCAGTTTATCCAGTCTTGCCTTTTGTTCCGAAGCAAATTTTTCTACAGCGTTTTGAATAGACTCTTGAGCTGCTTGTGTAGATGTCAGAGATGCTTGCATTGCCAAAAGTGTCATTTGTAAGTCTTTTTGAAATTTTTCTGCATCCACAGTTTTTCATTGGTGTGATGAACTTTGTGAAGCAGACGGGGATACCAAAGATGATGAATGAATTTTTTTCATGATGAAAATAAAAGACTTTATTGAGACAATTTTTTTAAATAAACCATTGTAAAACTAAATGGCCACAAGATAGTAACAAAAAATCACCCAGAAAAAATAAAAAGTTTGGGCAAACCATCTATCTGTTGAAGAATAAAACAACCACACGGTGGCAGCAGAGGGTTATTTGTTGGTATGACAAAGACAAAAGAAACTCAGCTTCATGCCTGGGCTAAAAAAATCAAATCGCCATATTGTCTCCGAGAAAGGTATACAGAAATGAAACAGAAGTCTTTTTTTTCTACCGATTAATATACAGTAAGTTCAAATTTGATTCTTCGCCCTTGGGGAGATTAAGCAAAAAGCATCTCTTTTCCAAGTCTCAAATATCCCCCGTTTTACCTAATCTCCCCTAGATTTGTCACCACTTGAGCTCCACAGGAGAGTGTTTCCTCCCTCTGTCAAGAGGGCTTTTTGTTTTTTATTCAAATTGAAACTTGTTTCACAAGTTCTTTCACAGGCAGTATTTTAAAGAGTTTGATTGCTCACCCAGCAGATCTCATGATCACTTTTAAGCTTTCCTTCTTCGCTATTTTTAACCGGCGCCGTCAGCCTGAAAGAGGTAGATGTGCCCCTTTCTTCCCTGTTCACTGAGAATTTCCCCAAATTTCTCCTGGTGGATGAGGGACCGCTGCCCCCCACCAGCCAGAAGTGTGCTCGGGCTTCTAATCCCTGCCCCGCCAGGGCTTGGATGGGCCTCCCACGGCCCTCTGTAGAACAGATTTCAGCATGAAGTACGGAGTCCCCGTCCCTCACAGCCATCTCGCCGTGACGTCAGCCAGAAGTCTCCTGTCAGTCTTGATCATGATAGTGCAGTCTTTGCCCAACTTCGTGTTTTCCAGGTATTTTGGATGACAACTCCCATAGCACTTCAAAACACTTAGTTTTGGATGATTCAGGCTCAGTTTGTATATTTATCAAATACAAATAGTGCATTTTTCTAAATATCATAAAGGATATGGTATATTTATTACAACAAATATAGGTTGATACTTAATATTATAAGATTTCAATTTACAAATGTTTACTGGAAAATTCAGCTTTTTGATGAGCAAATAAAACAAATGCAACAGTGCAGTTGTTTAAATAAATTTAGGGCACAATTCCATGCATGTTTAGAGAGAAAAAAGTGTTATAGCCTCCAGCATTCTGCAGTTAACATTGTTCAGTCTAAACATGCAAAGCATTATGTCCTTAGTCTGTTCCCCTGGAAACTGAATGAAGCTATGTAGGTTGTCAAGCAAGTGGAACACATGATAGTCTGATGGAATGGGTTGCAACCAGATGATACAAGATGTTGCTTGAATTGCGGCAATGTAAATTTTTGTTTTCCTTTCAAGCAAAGCAGATCTATAGTATCAGGATGACCTTTATGGACACTAACTGGTTAGGCAGAAATATATAATCAACAGTTTACAGAACACCACTAATAAATTTGGTTTCTGTTCTTTATTTTAGGTTCTATAACTCGGCATGACATAGATTCTCCACCTGTTTCAGAGCGTGTGGTCAGTATTTACAAGTATGAAGACATTTTTATGCCATCAGCTGCCTATCAGACCTTCTCTTCTCCATTCTGCTTGTTGCTTATTGTTGCATTGACATTTTATTTATTGATGGGAACCCCTTGATGACAGCTGCAGTATGCATGGCAAACAGAAAATTTGTCAGTGAGCATTGCTCAGGATGGGAGCCTTTTCTATTGGAATTTATATTACTGGACCCTTAGTTATTTGTTGACAGCTTGCACTTATTGTACAACAGGAATAAGTGAGCTCACTATTCGTTGGGCTGTAGATCTGTGCCAAATAATTATTTCAGAATAATCAAGGAAAATTGTCATTGATTGAGTGTGTTTAGTAAATATATAGATTGTTTCATTTCTGGTTGAGGATACATTCCCAAAGTTTCATTTACACAGTGCTTACATGTACTGTGCAAACCTGCATAGGATTCCATTATTTAAAAGATACTGGAATATTATGAGAAACATGAACAAATTTATCTTCTAACTTTAATTTGCTTTTTATTTAATAAATAGGTGACATGTATCATATTAATGAGATTATTTATGTATTATGTTTGTATAATTCATGTTTCACACCAAAGTGATTTAGGATGCAATCCTAATGAATATTTAGACAGAAAAAACTCCTACAACTCCCAGCATTTCCTATTCACCCATGCATAGGATTGCACCCTTAATTAACAGTATTGTTATCATTCTAAGAATTCTTAAATTATGTGTACAGGATTATACTGTAAAAAGAAACTATCAGGGTGATGTTCTGGGAAAAGATACTATTTTGCTTTCAAGTGTGAAAGTCTTGCTTAAGTGTGCAGAACTCCAAAACCAGCCAGAATTTAAAATTCTCTGTTGAATAATGCCAGAGGATACATTTGTCACGAGAATGTCACTGAGACACCATTTTAAGAAAATGCCACACATTTCTACCAGTTACTTAAACAGATAAAACTAGTGCCATTAGAACATTTTGTAAATGTAAAATATGTGAGCATGTAAAAAACGAACCAAAAAAAGCTAATTTTCCAGTACAGAGAGCACATTTTTCTCATTTTCTGGAAAAAAACAGCAGTACCATATCACCAGGTAAGTGACTTACAAAGAACATGTTTGTGTTTGGCTATATTTTGACACAGTTTATTCAGTTGGGTATCATTGTATGTATGATAATACATACAATAAATATGATGCAAGTAAAAATGCATTTTCTGTTTATTTTCTCCAAAAGTAAGCAAATACAGTTTATGTTGTAGACATGGAACCAGTGAAAAGAAAATGCAAGGAAACATTTGTTCCTCAACATTACTAATAAAATAACATACATCTGAAGAAACAAAAGGAACTCTAATGTGTATTACTTCAAAAAAAAACATAAAAATGTGAAAAGAGATAAGTATTCTGTAACTTAAATTTTCTGTGTGAAATATGATAAGATGAATAAATTAAGTATATTTAACTTGAAGTTTGCATCTTGACTTTCCTTTTTAGGCTGTGCATTCCAAAATATTAAGATATCGTGAAAGTTGCTAAATACATTAATATTAGCCTCAGTGCATTTTAAGCATCACCCCACAGTGCATTATATACATAATTAAAGTTCATCTTGGTTAAAACGTGTTTCTATCCTGAGCACAAGTGTTAATTCATACTCGCTTAATGTGGTAACACCAATTATCACTTGAAACTACCATCTTCCGTTGTTCATGGCAGCCTTTTTATCATGATTCAGATACGTGTCTCAGGAAAGCAAATATTGTCTACTGTGGCGAGCTTCTAGTATAGGAATAAGCGATCAATGAAATAGATTTTGACTTATTAAAGAAAAATAATACCAACAGACTTTTTTCTTTTCAGTATCCAAATATATGGTTGAGAAATTAAACTATACAGTTTTAAAAGCATTGTGCATTTGTAGCCTCTACTAAATTTGTATCAAAGGCATTTGATCTAGTCACACATTTATACATTCTAATTCTTAGGCAAAGTACTTTATTACCAAAGTGATTGTGCCTTGTTCTTCAAAGTTGGGGCAAAAATCATAGCATCCTAGGGTCAATTTGATCAGAAGCTTCTTAGAAGTGGGAATTATGCCAATCAGGAGCACTGACATTCTGGCTAATATTTTCCCTTCACTTAACTAATAAAATTGAAAGCAATTGAGTTGCTCATCATAATCTATCTGCCTGGCCCTGCTACAAACCTCTGAAGTGGGTGCTGATTTGAAAATTATTTTAAATCATTTGAAGATGATTAAAAAGTTAAATTGGAATTATATTATTTTAAAAGTTCAAAAATATTAAGTAACTCATAAAATTTGTTTAAAATGAAATCTAAATTTAATATATTTAATCAAAGCAACAATTCCAGCATGCTTGAACTTGATCCAGATTTGTGCTGTTGTTTTCTAATTTAAATCAATGGCTTAAATCAGGGCTGCAGCCCTCAGCCTAATTTCAAAAGCCTTTGCCAAGCAATCAGTTCAGATTTAATGCACAAATGATCTGTCCCTCCTCTGGCAGCCTGCTGGCTGGGGAAGAAGGAGAGACCAAAAAAAAAAGGGAGGTGGCAGAATGAGAGACAAAAGGTTAGTTCTACCTAGCTTTGTTTTGGTGGTACCCACAACTGGCTGTGGCCACATCTATGCCAGCATTGCTTTTCTAACAGATTAGCCCTGTGATACTGTGACCTGCAACATAAAAAATGTTCCCCTGACCCTGATTTAAATTTAAGGGTTATGCTCAGAAAAAAATAGTTGTCCTGGAATCCATTTTGCTGGCTTAGATACAAGGCTGCTTCAGAAGGAAACTTAAAATGACTGCATGTCATGTCAATACATGAGATGCAGAAAAATGCAAGAAATGGAGATGGCTTTCCTGCCTGCCTCGATTGGCTACCCATGCTGCTGGACTGCAGCCCCATGGGTTTCTCTGGACCTCTCCCAGATTATGCAGGACACCATTGCTGCTCTCTGCCACTCCTGGTCACTTCCCTGCTACTTTTCCAACTGCCCCCAAATGGTGAGAGCACAGGTTGGGGGTGCGTACAGAAGCAGATGCAGCAAAGCCGTGCCAAGGCAGAAGAGTGCGGGCCTGGTGTGTGGGGAATTTAGTGGATGGATGGTTGCAGTAGGCATAGAGGAATTGGTATTGTGCAGTAGGAGGATAAAGAGGAAGTTGAAGATGATAGGTAGTGTAAGATGAAGAAGGATGTGGTATTGTGGTTTAGACATAGGAAGAGAAGGGGGGACTTCTAGTATGGTCAAACAAATATCTTAATCATGCTGCTCTGTTGTCTCAAAAAATATTTATGGACTTCTACCTGCATAAACAGCTTGATGTTCAGGTAAGTCAAAGGTGAACATTCCAGCTATAAGTGGAGCTAAAGGTAAGGTGGTTGTGTTAACTACATCATAAATAATCTCAGCCTTTTCAGTCAGGGTAGATTTGTCCCAGAGTAGGTAAAGGCTTGAGAAAAGGCTCTGAAAGTTTGTATTAAAATTTTAAATCCTGCAACAGCTTTGGCTAACTTGAATTAAATATTAAAGATAAGATTGTGAAGATGATCATTTAACAACTCATGAATTACAGAAGTTTTCATAGATAAAAACGGCACAGGAGAGAAAAAGAGAGAGGGAAAGAATATGCTTTGACTAGAATGGGAAAAGAAGAATATGGTTAAAGAGTTCCCTCTCCTAGGTGATTAAGCAAATGCCATCCATGAACCCAACATGTGAAATAGGAGACTATCTATCTGTCTATGCATGCACATATTTATATGCCGCCTATAACTGTCAAAAGGCCTTCCTAGGCAGCTTACAAGACCATTAGATCTGTCTTTAACCAAAATTCTCTCTTCAGAATTGGAAGAACGAACATCAGGATCCCAAGGAAGTGCAGAGATTGAATTGGAAATGAAAGGCCTTAGAAAAATGTTTGAGTCCGGCATTAAAGAGCTAAAACAGGAGACTGAAAAGGTCAATCAGCATTTGAAAGTTCTTGAAACAAAAACTGGAAAAATTGAAAGCAAAATCTCACAAGAGAAACAGGATACAACACAAGACATGGCAAATCGATTTGCAACACAGATGAAAGCAGAAAATTTAAAAAAAATGTTGAAGACTTTGGAGGATCGAATCACTGCTAAGAGAGTTAAAACTCAACAGACAGAAATAGTGACCAAACTTAATACAGTGGAGATATATCACCAATCTAACAGAATTGGAAAAAAGGATGATTTCATCGCAGGATCAAAATTGCAGAGCCGATATCTGTGTACATGGAATACCAGAACGAGCATATACAGAATACAAACATCTTAGAAGTGATGTGCTGGAATGGCTTAAAGAAATGCTCCCAGAGGCAAAATGGGAACATGAAGACCTAGAAAGAATACACTGGATTGGTCCTAAGCATAGATCTAGGATGTTCCCCAGATATGTTCTGATCAAGTTTGCTAATTATTATAAGAACTCCTTATGAGAAAGTTGAGAGAGAAGATAGAAACACAGAAACAGAGTGAATCAGAAGGGGTCTCCCAGGCCATCTAGTCTGACCCTGGCTCCAGCCAGCTCCCCTCATGACATGTCCAGCCTATCCTTCAACACCCTCACCAATGGGGCTTCAACCACCTCCCATGGAAGCCCATTCCATACACTGGGGGTACTTTCTGGCATCCACCTTGAATCTTAGTTTCCTGGGCTTTGCTCCATTGGGTGGTGTCCTGCTCTCATCCACAGGGGAAAAAAGGACACAACCAACCACCATGTGACACTCCCTCACATACCTTTATGTTGCTAGCAGGTCCCGTCTAAATCTCCTCAAGGCTGAAAAGACCCAGCTCCCTCAGTCTCTCCTCATATGGCTTAACCTGCAAACCAGCCACCATCCTTGTGGCCTTTCACTGCACCAATTCCAACCTTGCTATATCCCTCTTGTAATGAGGGGCCCAGAACTGAACACAATACTCCAGCTCTGGGCACACCAGAGTTGTATAGAGTAGCAGTAATCTTGATCTAGAAACCACACTTCTGGCTATGCAACCAAGGGTGGCATTCACCCTCTTGACTGCCATGTCAACTGCTGACTCATGTTTAGCCTACATTCAACCAGCACTCCGAGATCCTTTTCACAAGTGCTGCTCTCTTGTCCCCTAACCTGTACTTATGACACCTATTCCTATGCCCCAAGTGCAAGACCTTGCACTTATCCACATTGAACGCCATCCTGTTGTCCCCTGTCCACTTCCCTAGTCTGTCCAGATCCTCTTGGATCCAGAGTACCTGCTCCTCAGTTGTGGCCACCACACCCATTTTAGTATCACCTGCAAATTAGATCAGCAGACTGGTCACCCCCTCTTCCAGGTCATTGATGAAAAGATTGAATGGGATTGGTCCCGGGACAGAGTCCTGGGGGACCCCACTTGTCACTGGCCGCCATCCTGATGATTCCTCACTAATGGTTACTCCAGGGGTCCTCAAACTTTTTCTAAAGAGGGCCAGTTGACAGATGCCAGTGGTGGGTGCAGGCCGGCGGGGAGCACGGGCCGGTGAGGGGGTGGGGTGCGCGCACACATGAGGTGAAGCAGGGATGGGGGGGCATGTGGGGTGAGGCACTGGCTTGCTCATGAGGAGATCAAGTCTATGGGCCTTAGTTTGAGGACCCATGGGTTACTCCCTCTGCTTTTGGTCCATCAGCCATGCCCTAATCCATCAAACAGTGCATTGGTCTATCCCAAAACTCCTCACTTTCTCAACCGGGGTATTATGGGGCACTTTGACAGAGGTCTTGCTGAAATCCAGGTAAACCACATCGACTGCATCCCCTCCATCTAGCCATCTTGAAACCTTGTCATAGAATTCACAAGGTTTGATTGGCAGGACTTGTTTTTGCAGAAGCCGTGTTGTGTGGCTGTCAGCCTCCCTTCCCTTTCTAGGGTTACTAAATCTCTCACTATTATGAGCCTTTCCACTGTCTTTCCTAGAATGGATGTAAGCTAACCAGCCTGTAATTCCTCATGTTCCCTCTACTACCCTTGAAATTCAAAGAGTATTCAAATATATTAAGGTTGTTGTTATCAGAATATGGTGTTTAGGCAGTGATTGAACATAATCAAGATAATGCTAACAAGATATTAAATATAGTTGGGGCTACCCATACATATGAGAGTTTTTTACAGTGGAAAATATAGTAGAATTGTCTCTGATTCAAGGCTTACATTTGTTTTATGAATGGGCCTTGGGGCTTAATAAATGAATTGCAAAAATTGAAGATAAAGGTTGAGAAACAATGTCAGAAGAACATGATCAAGGATACAAAGAAGAAAATGTTGGAGCTGTGGATAGATGTTCACTGACCCAAAGTATTAGTTCAGTGGGACAGAAGACAGTGAAAGCATCAGAAGAAGAAGGTCAAAGAGGTAAAGAAGATAGTGTTGGAATGACTGATGGACATATCCCAACTTGAGGAATTAGTCCAGTGGAAGATGAAATACCAAAACAGGCAGAAGAACAGGTGGTCAAGAAGTGGGAAGGGGCATTAAAGGATGGAGATGGAAGGGTTCCAACATAATATGTTTAACAAGATAATCATTAGTTTAATGGAGACTTTGTCAATGTTATTTACTTATATGCTTATGGATACACACGCACACACATTTGTCTTATGATTATATAATCTTCCTTTCTATTTTCTTTCTCTATATAAAAGGAGGTAGTATAGAATAAGATATAGAAAATAGAGAGACGGTGAGGTAGAGGTATATAATTATGTGTAAATTAGGTAATTAAAACAAATGGGATTGATTAGGAACAGCTATGGAACTGATAGAGTCATTGGGAGCTGGAAAGTGGTGGTTTGTCCCCTCAGTTAAAGTGCAGTTTGGTGATGCCAGGAGATTATCTCTTTGGAGAAAAAGGGAGATATACTAGATCTGTATTTTATTTTATTTATATATTAAAAGCTTTTGTATGCTGTCCTATTGTACAAGATCTCAGGGTGGCTTACAATATTTAAAAAGACAATTAAAACAACAATTTCAATAAAAAACAGAACAAAACAATAACTCACAAAACAAACAGAGCGACTAAACTTTAAAAAATATTAAATTTTAAAATATTGTTTAAATAAAAATGCTTTGGCCTGGTGCAGAAAAGAGTATAAACTTGGCACCAGGCGTACCTCTCTGGAGAGTACATTATCCGGGAACCCTCCATGAAAGAAACTAGGAGAGTAAGTACTCGGAGGAGGGCTTTCTCTGTGGTGGTGCCCAACCTATGGAATTCACTCCCCAAAGAGTTCCGCCTGGCACCGTCGTTACTGGTTTTTCGGCGCCAGGTAAAGACCTTTTCATTTAAACATCATTTTAATTGTTAAAATATATGATCTGGCCAGGGCAACTTCTTCTTCCTTCTCTTTTCTCCTCCTATATTATTTATTTACTTATTTTATACTGATAATTTTAATTTTATATTATTATGTTTGTAACTCAATGTATTTTTTGTATTTTTGTATTTAATGGTAATTTATTATGTTCTATTGTATTTCAATGTATTTTATTGTGTTGTAAGCCGCCCCGAGGCTTCGGCAAGGGGCGGCATAGAAATGTTATAATAAATAATAATAATAATAATAATAATAATAATAATAATAATAATAATTCCAGAGTATGGGTGCCACAGCAGAGAAGGCTCTAATCCTAGTTGATGACTTTTTTACCTCTCTTAGAGAGGGTTCCTGGATCAGGGCTTCTCCCATAGATCTTAAGGGGAGTGAGGGCATATAAGGAAGGAGACGTTCCTTCAGGTATGTGATGGGGTGAAGGAAGTGGGTGGTGGGGGCGGATAGGAATGGGGAGAAGATTATCTTTTTTCCTTGCTTTTTTACATATAGCTGTAGTGGGTGCACAAGGGACTAATTAAACTGCATGTTTTCAAGAGAGTATGGTTAAAACTATGAGATTAAATCTCTGAACATTATAGGTCTAGGGCAGGGGTTGCCAACCTTTAACACTCAAAGAGCCATTTGGACCCGTTTCCCACAGAAAACACCGGGAGTCACAAAACCCCTTTGACATCTGAAATGAAGATAACACTGCATATATCATTTTTTACCTTAATGCTATGTATAAAAACACTATAGTGTGTTCCATTTATGAAATCAATGAACTACTACAGAGAAAACAAATTTTTATTTCTGCATGCAACAAAAACATTTTGAACAAAAAAAAAGATGCTGGGTTGACAGTTACTTTCAAATAAAATACTCAGTGTCTATTTGAGTCCTCCTTGTATTTATGAAATAAAAAGCCGAACATAAATTATCCACCTGCAGCAAACCAAAAATGCCGTCTGCTTCTGTGTGCCCTCATCCTTTTATCACGTGTACTGGAGGGTGCAGTCAGCTGTCAACCTGAATAAAAAAAGGACTAGTTGATACTTTCATACAGTAAGCAGAGTTTCTGCAATACAGCAAATATAAATAATAGTCTGGTGAGATAGTGAACAAACATCCCTCTCCCAATGTAATAATGTTGCTGGATTTTTTATAAGAATCTTCTTAAAACAAGGAAGTAGATCTTTATCTTCATTATGATTTAGCAGTCACTAAAAACTGTTTTTAATCTTACATTATAAACTAGTAGGACTCCTTTCATATATTTTGAATAGAACAGCTTCCTGCAGAGTCAAAGTCAGTGCTAAAGGGCTGCATGCATTAAACAGCAAACCACGTAAGTTTGTCGGTAGTAAAAGCAAATGAATCTACCCACGTATCATTAAACGTTCGGTTTTCTTCAGAAACTTTTTTCTTCTTCGATTTATCCATGGTTGGCCTACCTGGAGGAAAAGTTCAGTATATTGTGAACAGCTCAATAAATCGGCACGTGTCACAGATCGGCGGCTGTGTCGGCACAGGTCGCCGATCGGCAGCTGTGCCGGCATGTGTTTTGAGTGATGGAGCCGCAGCAGAGGGATTCAAGAGCCGATGCCTGGTCTAGGGAGTGTAATTAAAAGGAAATGGATTGAAGTGATGATAAAGCAATAGCAGATATTGTATTTTTACAGGGGACCCATCAGAAAACATAGAAAAGTGAGGATAAATAGAAAAAGATGATATAGGTCACAAAAGATAGGAGGACTGGGTATCCCTAATGTAAACTTATATAGCTTACCAAGTGAGGTGTATACCAGATAATATTTTACAACCCAATAAAATAATTTAGCTAAAATAAGAATTTTCTCAAGTACGTGGAATCTTGATAGATCTTATTTTCAAATATGAAAATAAAAATATTATTTAAAAAGTAGAAAACCCTTTCCTTAAAAATACACAAAATACATTACAAATCTGGAATTAGTAAGGAAAAAATTATGCCATCTATCTCCCCATTATGCCCAATGGTGGGTTTAGAAGGGTTTCCATCAAATTTGGGGGTTATTCTAAGGAAAATATTAAAGAAGAAACAAATGATTAGATTAAATGATTGGCACGTGAATAAAAAGGGGGCGATAAAAGCAATATTAGCTATGGAGACAATAAGTTGGTGATTCATTTAGAATGTTAGACTAGAGAATGGACAAAAAAGACGCAGAGATTATACAAAATTTGAAGATGTGATTATAGAAAAGGAAAAACAGGAGAATATGCAGATGAAAGGGATAGTACATAAATTGATTAGATATCATTAGAAGAACAGGATGAAGATGATTCACTCAAAGCAACATGGAAAAAGAAGATAAAATGTATGTCAGTAAGAATAATGGAATTTTTTAATAAAATTGTATGGAAGTAGTACCTAACCCTGGTGAAATTGAATGGTGGTTTTCAGTGGTTTTCACAGCTGGGGACTGGCAAAAACAGGAAAATCATCTTGGGGACCACTGAGGAAGAAACAAAAAGCACCATACACATAACACAGTATTCTGTGTATTGGTTTCCAAACACAATACCAAACAAATGAAAATTCTCCAAAACAACCAGAAAGTAAGCAAGAAAAAATGCCAACAAAAGAACAAAATACCAAAATCAGTGTGGCATGGCTTCCAGCTGGCTCCCACCGAGCCCTCTTCTCTCCCCATCCCACCCCCCAGTGGCACCAGCACATCCCCTGTAAATGTGATGCCAACTGGGAAAGAGTTGGTAGAGCACAGCCAGACCCTGTGCCAGTCCACGGCAAGCAGGATGCATCCCCCTCCCCCACAGACCAGCAGAAAATCTCCTGTGAACCAGTGCCAGTCCATGAATGCATGGTTGAAAAGCACTGCTATAGATAACACAATCATGAAGTGGGTACTTATTCCATATGTGGTGGAAATGCAAATCTATAATGAAATTTTGAAAAAGATTTTTAAAGAGTGTTGTAAAATATTAAGCCTAAATATAGATATATACCATAAGATTGCATAACTTTCAATATTTGACAAGAAACAATGGATCTGGAATAATAAATAATTAATAACAAATTTAATAACTGCAGTGAGATTACTTATAGTCAAGAATTGGAAAGTAAAATATGAATACCAGTTGTGTGATTGGTACAGAGAAGTTTGGAATATAGCTATATAGCTATTAACAACAAATTAACATGTGAGATCACAGTGAGAAAAGGCCATATAAAGAAAAATAAGTTTAATGATACTTGGGGTATATTTATTGAGTGTGTCTTTTAAAAAGGGAAAGGAGTTGATCCGCCAAAAGAATCATTACAGTTTTGGAAGGGGGGAATGTCCTGAAAAGTCTGAATGAGTTTTCCTTATTTGTAACATGTATCATTGGTGTTGGGGGGTGGGGGGATCATATTATAAGAATTATTTTAATTGTATGTTTCATTGTATATGCTTTTATATTAAATGTAATTTCCTTTGTTTTTTAGATTGAAAATTAATTTTAAAAATTAAAAAAGAGTTAGGAAGGGAGTGTCAGGTAGTAGAGGATAAAGTAGGAAATTGAAGGGTTTTTTGAATCATTCTAGCAGGCAGACACCTTTTTTATTCACCCTATTGGGACTATTGTTGTATTTTTTTTTTTTCTCCCAATGCGTAAGTGTGTGGGTGCTTCAATCCAGTGATTTTGGGTAGTGGGGAGAGGGCACTGGAGGTTGGCCAGGCCAGTGCAGGAGAGGAAGGGATACATGTGTTACTGCTATCCCCTTCTCTGGGCTGCCAGGAGGTAGGGGCGTGCTGTGGGGGTAAGAAGTAAGGTAGCAGCACATCATGGATCATCGCGGGGCCCACCGGGACCCGTAACACAGGTCCCTTGACCTGAGAACTCTTCTAATGTTATAGAGGGGTAGAGCCCCCACGGGCAGGCGCTCCCATAATTCTCCGAGTAGGAGATATTAGCAAAGACGGAAAAGGAGGCATTCACTCCTACCCCAGTGTAAAAAGGGGGCTGAGGACTCAAGCATAACCAACATGTTTCGGTAATGTTTGGGTTGGTCCCGTTGAGGATTTGAAAAACTGCAGACACTAATGTAAATGAGTGGCTGGATGACGGTATGCTAGCAGCCCGGGCCAGAGCACGCTCTGTATGAGGGGAAGGGATGTGGTGAGCGGGGGTGGGGGTCACCACCTGAGGGTGAGGGAGAGCATGGTTGGGTCCCACCGGGCCCCAGGGTCGTGAGATAACCCGTTTCCGAACCGTGAAAAGTATGCCCGGATCAGGACCATACAGATACAAGCGCAGTCCCCAGGTTTTACCTTTTACCCAAGAATCTTCTCCACCTCGTTTGATCTTGAGGCTCAGGGGGTTACGTCTGCTGGTCCCCGCCTGGCCGGCCTGCACCCTTTTCACCATGAGCCAAGGATCCTTATCTTGGCCTTCCACCCAGGTAGCGAAAGTCTTGCAACCCTATCGGGCGCAGTAGAAGTTGGGCGCATCATCGCAAGCGGGGCTCCCATCCGATGGACAGCCATAATATTGCTCCTGCGACAGTCCCCTTGCCAAGGTATCAGTTCCGCATCCATAACCCCAGATCAGGCACCCCCTCCCCCTCAACCGTATCCACCGAGAAGAGGCCTGGGTTAGTCCACCCGGGCGGAAGGAGTTGGCAGAGATCTATGCGGAAGTCCGGGGAGGTATCGTGGGTGTGAGTCAGGACGGTTGCCACTGGCGGGGAGGTCTGCCAATCAGTCTGCAAGGTCCATTCCATGGTAAGTGGCTGGTGTGGGTTCGGGGGGGGGGCAGCCTCCCGGGCAGGCGAGAAGAATCAGGAGGACTGCTGGGAGGAGACCCTTTTTAACTTGACCCGCAGAGGGTCTCGGGTTTGGTGTACCATCCATTGTTCCGAGAGAACCGGTGAGGCAGGCTTTATCTGTGTCACGTGGAACCAGTGGGGTTTTTTGGCCAGTCTTACCGCCGTGGGAGTGGAGAGGATCACCTGGAAGGGTCCTTGCCACCGGGCACCTAGGGTGACAGGGTGAAAGTTCTTTAGCCAGACCCAATCTCCCAGGTTTACATGTGGGGGAGGGTCGGGCGCGGGGTCCGGAGTCTCGGTAGTCTCGCCCATGTTGGGCCGAACCTGTCAGCGAATATCGTGCCGGATGCGATCGAGGGCCTGCAAGGACTCAAGCAAGTTGTGGTTAGACAACTCGGCGCACGTCTCCTCTGCCAGGCGGGGAAGCAGAGGAGGCGGTCGCCCAAATACAATTTCAAAGGGGGTGAACCCCTTCCTATAAGGGGAGCATCGCGTGCGTAGGAGGGCAAACGGAAGGAGGTCCGTCCAGTGACTGCCAACTTCAAGAGTGTATTTTGTTAAGGTTTCCTTTAAAGTCCTGTTCATCCTTTCTACCTGCCCTGAGCTTTGTGGCCTATAGACACAATGCAGTTTCCAATCAATTCCTAGAGCCTTGGCTACCAATTTGGAAGTTTGGGCAATGAACGCCGGGCCATTATCGGAACCCAGAGCTAGAGGTACGCCAAATCGGGGTACAATTTGATGCAGGAGAGTCCGGGTAACGATCAAGGCTGTCTCACCCTTCGTAGGGAACGCTTCGACCCACCCGGAGTGGGTGTCGATGAAGACCAATAAATAGCGATACCTACCTCGGGTAGGTTTTACCTCAGTGAAGTCTATTTCCCAGTGCTCTCCCGGCTGGGATCCGTGATGGCGAACGCCCGGGGCGGTGGAGGGCCGGCTAGGGCCAGCGTTAACTCGCGCACAGGTGGCGCACCCGGAGGTTATGGAATCGGCCAGAGTCTATAGTCCGGGCAGATAGAAATGGGGTCTGAATAACTGACAGAGGGGTCTGAATAACTGACAGAGCAGGTCATCCACATATTGCAAAAGGGTAACCTCGGGATGGGTCTCCCGGAAGGGAAAAAGGTCCCTACTCAGAGCTTCATCAAAGAGAGTAGGGGAGTTCTTGAACCCCTGCGGCAGCCGGATCCACGTAAGTTGACCCGAGAAGCCCTGGTCCGGATCCGTCCACTCAAAGGCGAACAGAGGCTGGCTCACCGGGGCCAGAGGTATACAGAAGAAAGCGTCTTTTAAGTCCAAGACCGAGTACCATTCCCGGTCTGGTGGCAGCTGGCTGAGTAGGGTGTAGGGGTTAGGCATGGTAGGGTGGACAGTCTCTACCCGGGCGTTTACCTCACGTAAGTCCTGAACTGGCCGGTAGTCCTCGGTGCCGGGCTTCTTGACTGGTAACAGCGGGGTGTTCCATGGCAACCTGCAGGGTACTAAAATTCCTGCTTCCAACAGTCTCTGTATATGTTTACGTATTCCTAACTTCACCCTGGCTGGAATGGGGTATTGGGGTTTCTGAAACGGGGTGGCCGAACTGTTGACCTGTACCACGACGGGTGGCTGATGAGACGCCAGACCAGGGGGGTTGTTTTCGGCCCATACTCCTGGAATCTCTTTTTGGAGTTCTTTTAAGGCCTCAGAAGGGCTTTCTGGGACCTGACTTTCGAAGAAGAGATACTCGTCTTGCAAGGGTACAGTAAGCAGAAGGGCAGCAGGCTGCGGAGAGCCCAGGCTGAGGTGAGTGCTGTCCTCTTGGAATGACACCGAGGCTCGCAATTTTCTTAAGAGGTCTCGTCCCAGGAGGGGGAAGGGACATTCGGGGATTACCAAGAAGGAATGAGTTATAGTCCCTTTTCCCAGATCAGTCACATGAGCTGAAATCCAAGGGTACGCCCTGGGTCGCCCCGTTGCCCCTATGATCTGAGTCTTTTCTTCAGTAAGATGGCCGACCCCTTCCCGGAGAACCGAGTGGGCTGCCCCAATATCTACCAGGAAGGTGGTCGGGCGGCCCCCCACAGTTAAGGTTACCAAGGGCTCTCGGGGGCCCAAATTGACAGAGCCCTGGCCCCTTCAGTCTTCCTCAAGAGTGAGGAGACTCTTTCCTTTTGGGTTCACTTTCTTCTTACGGGGACACTCGCTTTTCCAGTGGCCCATCTCCTTACAGTAGGCGCATTGATCTTTTTCTAGGCGGGAGTGACCCCCATTCCTCCGTGGAGTCCCTCGACTTCTATCGCTAGTTTCCTGCATGGTCGCTAAGACGACTTTGGTTAATTTCTTTGTGCCTGCAACTTCTGGGTCCTCACGATTATTAAAAACCTTCTGAGCTATCTCGACTAGTTCACTGAGATTCTTCCCTTCAAACCCATCTAACTTTTGAATCTTTTTCCTAATGTCTGGGGCCGACTGTGTAACAAAGGCTATGTTAATTGCCCTCGCGTTCTCAGGCGCCCGAGGGTCTATAGGTGTGTATTGCCTATATGCCTCAAGTAGGCATTCCAAGAAAGCGGCGGGGGATTCCCAGGGGCCTTGAACTATCTCACTTACTTTAGACAAATTGGTGGGCTTCCAGGCTGTGCCACGGAGGCCCTGTAGAAGAAGTTGGTGGTACCTGGTTAGAGCTCCTTCACCAGCAACTGTATTTGGATCCCAGTTGGGTTGTTGGGCTGGGAGACTCGTTTCCAGAATAACTGGGTCAGTGGTGGGTTGGCCACCTGTGCCAAGAACCTGCTTCCGAGCCTCGAGGTGAATCCGATCGCGCTCCTTGGAAGTAAAAAGAACTTGCAAGAGTTGCTGGCAGTCATCCCAAGTAGGGCGATGGGTGTGAAAAACCGTTTCTAGTAACGAAATCAAGACTTGTGGTTTTTCAGAGAAAGGAGGATTTTGTAGTTTCCAGTTATACAGGTCACTTGTGGAGAAAGGGACATAAACCATAAACGGACGGCCTGTCCCCTGCGCAGGGGCAAGCTCCCGGAGGGGCAACAGAGTGGAGGGCTCAGGGCCGGGATCGGGGGAGACCAGCAACACCCGTTTGTCGCCCTTGCCCCCGGGACCAGAGGACGGCAAGGGCAGAGTGGACTTCGGAGGAACAGGTGGACGGAGACCGTACGGAAGTCCACTCCAGGTTCGGGACGGACTGTGGGAAGTGTGGGGCAGGCTCCCGGAGGCCTGGGAATTTGGGGCATAGGGAGGTGGCTGAGTCCATGTGTCCAGAGGGTCCTCCGGCCCCGTCTAATCATCCGTGAGGATGTGGGGTTTAGTGGATGAGGGGGTGAGGGGTGATCTGACGTGGGGTTCTCCGCCCTTTTTAACCGTAAGGAGAGAAGGACACATGGATCCTGGAAGTTTCCGTTGACACCGTTTAATGTAACTAGGTCTCGTCTTGGCGATGTCTAGCCACGTCTCTACATATGGAATCTGATCTGGGTGTCCAGGATTCCCAAGGATCACAGCCTCAACGTTCCTAACCAAGACCAAATCAAAAGAGCCCTCTGAGGGCCATCCCACGTCAAAAGTGGTCCACTCTAATTCACAAAGGGTCCGGAGGGTCCTTGGCTTGACGGAGACCCCAAATCCTGAAGCCCTCTTAAAGAAATCAGAAAAGTTATTCAGAAGACATTGCAAAGGGGTGGTCAGGACGGACCGACCCTGCCCCATTTTCAAGTCCTGAAAAAAAGAGATTACTGAGACTCTTAAGTGTCAGATCAGATAGACGACAAGACAGACGACAAAACAGACAATCTAAACACACACACAACCTAAACAGGAACTGAGGCTGGGAGCGACGTCTCGCCCCCAGACCGGAAAGTGGCCCGTACGCTGCGTCCAGCAGGCCTTTCTTTCCAATACCAGATCTGCAGATATTCAGAACAGAACAGATGGTGGGTAACCGCCGTCCGCACTTACCAATTACTCCTCTCTCGGCTAGTCAGACGTCCCACCAAACCTGGGTAGAGGCATAAGATGCCTATGGGCCCGTCCCTGGTGTCGGGGGGAGGCAAGACTGATAAGTCTCAAGATCTCGCTGGGGCCTCCAAATGTTATGTCCCGTGGTTTTACTGATGAGACCAGAGACCAGTTGGAATTTTCGAGAGGAGTTTATTACCTGCAGGGACCACACTCGTTAGAGTGCGGTCTTGAGCAGAAGGAAAGCAGCGTTTTTATACTCTTTTACAACTATGCAGGTGCTTGAATAACAGCGAACAATAGGGGAAACCCACTGAGCCCCATTTGCACATTTTTCATGCTAAAGCAAGCGAGGGTACAAGGGCGTAACGTCTGCGGTTATGCTGGAGCGTAGCCTGCTTTGTTTTCAGCCTTGCGTAGCGTGCACATTCGTTGGGGTTCTTGTTCTCATGCGAACAGGACACCCTGATCATGCTTTTTACCCGTGACGAGCCATGCCCTGGCTGCATGTTCGCTTAAGAGGTGGGTTACAACACTTCCCCCAGCCAGAGGATTTCTGGTGACCATGCCAGTCTGCCCTTGAGCTTTGTGGTAGTGTTATTCAGTGTTTTTTTTTTTTTTTGTTAAAACCCCCCCAAAAACTCAAGCCCACGATCATTATCTCACTATCAGATAGCAGGCACAAAAGCAGCCTGCAGGCACTATGTTAATGATGTTTGCTGCTGATCTGCTACATTCAAAATCACTTCGTAAAATCCATTGGGAAAAAGGTGCCGGAACACCGTTCCGATGCATTCTATGACAAAAAAAGCCCTGGTGTTATTTAATGCTAGGTCAGCCCATAATAAAACCTCACTGATCCATGGTCTAATAGTGGATCAGGGAGCTGAGCTGGCTTTTATCATTGAGACCAGGGTAGACAAAACTGGGGGAGTTACTCTGTTCCAGCTTTGTCCACCTGGAGACTTCAGTGCAGCACCAACATCATCCTGAGGGCCAGGGAATGGCCATTGTTCATTGTGATTCCATCTCCCTCTTGAGGCTTCCTGTCTATTCAAGTGCAGACCTAGAGTGTCTTTATCTTGCATTAGGCAATTGAGACAGATTAGGGATTGTAGCTGTTCTAGCACCCACACTGCTGCCCAGTAGCCTCCCTGCCTGTGCTGACAGAGGTAGTCTCTGACCTGGTGTTGAGGACCCCCAGAATGCTAGTCCAGGGGGAACTCAACTTCCACGAGGAGACTGCCTTATCTGGGGCAGCTAAGGATGTCATGGCAGCCATGACAGCCATGGGGCTGTACCAACATGTCATCAGCTCAATGCATGTAAGAGTTCACACTCTGAATCTGATTTTCCTGATAGGGCAGGAAAATGGTAACCTGAGAACTGGGGGACTAACTTCTATCCTCTTGTCATAGTCAGATCACTTCCTTCTGAGCTTTGAACTAATGGTTCCTTTCTCCCTCTGCAGGGGTGAGGAACTCATTAAGTTGGTCCACCCTTGGAGGCTTATGAATTCAAGTGGATTCCAGGCAGTTCTGGGGGATTTTCCAACTGGCAGGCTCACCTGTTGACGCTCAGGTCGCTCTGTGGAATATGGAAATGGCCCAAGAGATTGACATGAGCACCCCCAAGCACACTCTTCCATCTTGTAAAGCCTGACTGGCTCTCTGGTGTATGCCAGACCTGAGGGCAATGAGGCAAGAGGGAGACAGCTAGAGTTCAGGTGGAGAACTTGAAACGAATACAGCCAAACACAGCTTAGTGATTTTTAATGATGGTTCTAATGTTTATATTAGTGCTGCTGCCATTTTATGCATTTATGCTAGCTATTTGATATTAAATCAATATGTTTTCATTGGTTTAATGCTGAAAAAGAAATGGAAAACTTCTATGCAGGCATAACACTGGAAGATAAATAATAACAACAAAATACTACAACCCATCCAGCAAACACCTTGGCAACAGCACCAACACAAATAAAACTGGCTGTAGAGCCTCAAAGTTCAAATTTCCTTTTGAATCCAACTCAAATGAAGGAATCCAACATGTCCTTTTTAAATGATCTGAACACAGAAGAGTCAGCTGCATGCACAGAATCCTCAAAACCCTGGAATAAAATGTCAATTCAACTGTATATACATGAATTCATTATGTGGATCTCCCTCCACAACACAAACATAGGAATTTTACCTAAACCAAGTCACCAAAGGGCCTTAGTGGAAACAGCAGCTCCTGCCTCTTCAGCTTTTCCCCTCTTTTTGATTCAAATTTCTTACAGCCCCATTCTTTCTTAGTTTCACTCCTTTGGACTGAACAAATATTTCATAGGGGTTACCCAAGCATCCAAGCAGAAATTGATAAAACACCAAAACAAGACATGATGATAATCTTAAGTGACTATAATGTGAAAGTAGGAAACAAAGCAGAATCCAATCTTGTGTGAGAATTTGGTCTAGGGTCAAAAACAAAGCAGGAGAGTGACTCATAGAATTGTACAAAGCCAATCACCTATTTATTAGAAATACATATTTGAGGCGACTGATCACACTACTTTATACATGGGCATTACCAAATGGCCAATACAGAAATCAAGCAGACTATGTAACTGAAAAGAAAGTTCTGGAAGCTGTACTCTGACAAAATATGACCAGGAGCAGATTGTCATAGTGACCATAAACTACCAATATCAAAAATCAGCGTAAAGCTGAAAAAGATTACTAGTAGAAGCAAAATGCTGAAATATGACTTCGCGTCCCTGAGGAATTTAAAGAACAGATTAGCATTCGTGAACTAAATTTACTGTGAACCAGAAGAACTATGGATTGAAACCAGAGACATGCAAAGATATAGGGGGAAATGCAAAGGAACAATTCCTGCAACAAAAAAAGAAAGAAAAGGCTTAAATAGATTAGAGAATTCACACTTGATTCACACATGATGGACAGGTAAGAAGAAAAGGTAAAAGGTGACAGAAATAGGGTCAGGATCCTGAATGCAACTTTTCAGTGATTATCACACAGAGACAAAAAATACTATTAGAATGCGCAGTACAAAGAAATAGAAAATAATAATAAAAGAAGGGAAACAGACCTTTTGTCTATGTTGATTTTCAGAGCTCACCAAAGAATTCCAAATCAACCAATTAGACAAGGCTTTGACTTGTGTGGATCATGAGAAGCTATGAATGGTATTGAAAAAAATTATCTTGATTGTCCTGATGTGCAGCTTGTATGGTGGACAAGAAATTAATGTCAGGGCAGAATATGGAGAAATTGAATGGTTACTTACAGAGAAAGATGTGTACTTTATCTCCCTATCTGTTCAAGCTGTATGCAGGTTAAGATCAGAGCAGTGAAAACTGGCAGAAGATATAGCAATAATTTAAGATATGCAGATGATACCATGATACCATGTTAGTGGCATAAAGCAGCAGTGCATTGAAATCATTTCTGATGAAAATGAAAGAAGAAAGTCCAAAGTTAGGATTGTAGCTGGACATTAAAAAAAGCCTTCAGTTGTTCAAGGCTGTGACGTACAGGCCAATTTGGTGGGCATTCATAGGGTCAGCTTAAGTCAGAGACAACTTGATGGTACATTGACAATACAATAAAGGAAGCTGAATGTAGTATTTTATTTTTATTATTAGCATGAAGTACCATGAATATAACTTGGAATTTCTTATCTTCACTATAGAACACTGTTTTCCTTTTCCCTAAGGAAAAGTGAATAGTCGTAGTGGCAGTAGGAAATTAAAATACTAGTGGGGACGGGCTGCTGCCAAAGAAATAACCATGTTAGTTTTGGAGAGCAACGCCAGCAAAGTCTCATGGCATGTTAAACTCTAACAAATATTGGGGTTAAGTTTGAAATGGTCTCCTAAGTCAACCTTCTTCAACCTGGGGTTGCCATCTGATCAGGTGAACTGAATGGCTCCGCTCCTACCTGGTAGACCAGCTCCAGATGGTGGTGCTGGGGTTTATCACTCTGTGCCATGACACGTGTGTCATGGAGTTCCACAAAATTTGATTCTATCCCCCATGCTGGGAGATGTCATCAGGAAGTTTGGGCTGAAATGTCATCAATATGCTGATTATACTAAGCTCTACCTCTTGTTTTCATCTGACCCAGGTGTGGTTGTCTCTACCCTCAACCCTAATCCTGATAAGATGGAAGTGCTGTTGGTGAGTAAACCCCCATTCCAACTGGGAGATTGTAAACCTGTCCTGGATGGGGTTGCACTCCCTCTAAAGGAAGGTTTATAGTCTGGGGCTGCTCCTGGACCCTCAGCTCTCCCTGGTTGCCCAGGAGGACTCAGTTGCCAGGAGCAGTTTTTATCAGCTTTGGATGATTTACCAACTATGTTCCTGCTTGGGTAAGCGTAGTCTTGCCACAGTCATTCACATACTGCTAACTTCCAGACTGGAGTACTATAAAGCACTATACATGGGGCTTCCCTTGAAGACAGTCTGGACCCTTCAAATGATCCAAAACAGGGCATCACAAATCTGATGAGGACCATCTTTTATGAACACATTACATTAGTCCTCCATTGACTTCACTGGCTACCTGATCCAGTCCAGGCTGAATTTTAGGTTTTGACTATGACATATGAAGTCCTAAATGGCATGGGACCACACTATCTCTAGGAAGCGCCCATGGGACCACTTAAACTATTTATATTGACGGCACTGGTTTTAATTTTAATCTCATTTATTAAATTTATTAATGTATGGTTTGTCTGATTGCATACATTGGATTTCATCTTGTTTATTTATAATATTTTTACTGTATTGTATTATTGATATTGATATTTTTAATGTAATGGCCGCCCAGAGAGCATTATGCTAACAGTGTCTTTTCTACAAATTTAATAAATAATAACTGCAGCCCCTATCATCCTTAGCCAGCATGGCCATTTACGTGGCTAGGGTGCTGTGTATACACATTAATTTGTTCTCTGTACAAAGGGAAAAATGAAAAATGGTTGTTGTTTAATAAACCTAGCAACGTCCAAAAGTCAAGCACGGCAAGGTGGAACTGTAGGCGTTGTACGGAACCCAGGCAGCACAGAATTAGGAAGACTACATTTCCCAGAATCGCTTGCTCCCAACTCACCACTGGCCGCTCGGGAAAACTACACTCTCCAGCATTCCTTTCGGAATACTTGCTTTCCTTGGTTTGGCGCGGTTCTCTTCCTTGAGAAGGATCTGAGGGATTGTTGGCGGTGCAAGCAGCATCAGCAGGTCGGCTAAGATATGGCCGAGAGCGGGGACGGCCGTTCCTCCTCAGACCCTCTCTCCGAGCCGGAGCTGGACCCGAGCCCTGGCTCGCCGCCGCCTCTGCCGCAGCCACTCCCGCTTCCGCGCCTGGAGAAGCCGCTGCGCCAGGCCTTCTACAACACGGGGGCTCTGGTGCTGGCGGGGCTGTGCTGCGGAGCGGGCGTGCTCGTCTACTTCATACTGGAGGCCTTCTTGCGGCCGCTGCTGTGGGCCGTGCTGTGTGGCACTTTTTTGCACCCATTCAAGAACTCGCTGACGGCGCTGGGCCGCGGCTGGCTGCGCCGTCTGCGCCGCTCGGGCACGCCGGTCCTCTTGGCCGCTTTTCTGCTGCCTCTCTGTTTTGCCAACACTGCCGCCGAAGCGTTGGGCAGACAGGTGCTGCGGCGTCGCCGGCTCCTCCTCCTCCTCGGTGCCGGAGGACCCGCCTTGTACGGGCTGTATGCCCTCGGCACATCTCTTGGGATCCAGGTCGCGCTTACCCAGGCTGCCCTCCTCATCTGCCAAGGGCTGGACTACTTCAGGAGCCTTTGGGTGAGTGACTGGACGAGCGAGCGGGGGCTTAATCTCTAGAAACTGTGGCCTAAGGGTAGATGCTGGACGCAAGCATTGCATCCAGAATAATTTGCTTTGAACTGGTTAACGGCTTTACGGTTTATCCTTTTCTGTCGTCCCCAGAAACTTTCTGATGCTCTTCAGAATTTGGAAACGCATATTGTCAGGACTAATGCTTTATGAGCACGGCAGAGTGCATCCATTCAATTACAGTCATTTATAACCCCCTTCCCCGGACACACACACACACATGGGGGAGGGTAAGGTCGGAGGATGCAACTTCTAGGATAGCTTGAGCCCCAGCAGTGAGTAGAAAGTGGACTTAATCTGTGACAGAGCTCAGACCTGGTAGATGAGACCTAAAAAGTGTATCTCTAAGTGTCTATAAAGTGTGTCATTTGCATTCCCAGTTGAAGACTCTTATCCTCGTTTACCTTCTCATCTACCTTCTCATGATCCTATCTCATCTCTTGGTTGCCAACCGTTGTGCCAGCAGCATGACAAAATCAACTTCTCTCAGACCCACCTCTGCTAACTCCTCCCTACTGTTCAACTATTTCACTTCCTTAATGATTTGTTAAATTTTTTGATCTATTCTTGCTTTCTTTTGCCCCTTCTCCCTTCTATCTTTGGGTTTCAGTCTGGAGCATGCTGTGTATTTCTAGAGTCTCAGTTTAACTCTGCTCCAGGTATGCACTTGATCTCCTTCAATCTTGTTCAGTCATTGCCATTTTACTGAAACTGTTCTTACAAAAAACATTCATCGTCTTGGTGCAAAATCTAAAGATTCCTTTTCAAGTACCTATTCTTTTCTTCTCCCTGGCTTTGATACAATAAATCACTCTCTTGCTTGACTGATTCTGTGTTCAAAAGGTTCTCTAGCTAGCTAATTATTCTTTCAGTGTTTTCATAGTGGTGAGTTTTTTCACTGCTGTCTTTACTGGGTATCTCTTGTTGATGTTTGTACTGCCTCTACCTGGATGACATCCAGCAGTATATCTCTGTCTCTAAACTATTCACCATTCTTCAGCCCTACATCTCTAACTGAATTAGATGGCATATCCTGACCTCAGTGTATGTCCAAGATCAAAGTTCTCATCTTTCTTTCCACACTCTCATATATTTATTTTCATTCACAGCTTTAACTGTGTTGTTAATGTGTGTTATAATCCCTTTTTTGATAGAAGGATGGGGTATAAATTTAATATTTAAAAATAATAAGGCAAAAATATGCTGATCTTAACAAATGACAGTGTTACTATCCACTCCTTTGTTCTTCATATTCAAGTTATGTTGCTTCTCAAGTCATGTTGCTACTGTAATAGTCCCCTCTCCTGTCTTTCTTTGTCTCACTTTAGCCCTCTCAGCCCATTTAGCATGTTACAGCCAAAATTATTCTCTCCCTTCTGATCACATGATACTGGCTATCTGGGATCCCTATACTGGCTTTCTGGGATCCAACACAAGCTCATTGACCTTCAAAGCCTTCCACATTCTTTCCTTACTGCACCCCTTCCCCCCAATCTCTCTGCTTATATCTTGGGACATCCTTGCCTGTGGCTTCATGTTCTTTCTGCTTACCGTATTTTTCGCTCTATAAGACACACTTTTCCCCCCCTCAGAAGTAAGGGGAAATGTCTGTGCGTCTTATAGAGCGAATGTGTGTGTGCCTGATGCCCGGGACGCTGCCGGCCCGCCTGCACCACGTGGCACCACCTGGCTGGCATGTGCTCGGCGTGCGCTGCTCCGCCCCCCCCCGGTCCGGCGCAGGTGAGAGCTGTGCCGCTCAGGGGGAGCGGTGCGGAGGAGGAGGCGCTGCGGGCTTTAACCCACCGGCTGCACAGAGAGATGGACTGCTCACCCCCACCACCCAGGAAGATCTGCTGCTGCGGAGGAGGAGCCGCGGGCTTTAACCCACCGGCCGCACGGAGAGAAGGACTGCTCACCCCCACCACCTGGGAAGACCTGCCACTGCCGCGCCGCCTGGAAGACCGCCGGCATGCTGCTGGCCTGGCTGCACCACACCTGGCCGGCATGTGCTCGGTGCGCCCTGTTCCGCCCCCCTCCTCAGGCACAGGTGAGAGCTGTTAATCACAGGTCGGTGTGCGTTTTCAAATGGCAACCCGTCTTTTAATGAAGCCCATGGGCAAGTGATGGGGAATGTGCCTGTGATTATCAGGAAGCTTTCCATGGATCCCTCCTCTAAAAACTAAGTGCGTCTTATGGTCAGGTGCATCTTATAGAGCGAAAAATATGGTAATTCCCCTCAACCATCTGAAAGCTTCTTTCTTCAAAATACTGCTTCTGCTCACTTGCTAGCTTGATGTGCTTTAAAATATGCTTGATGGTGCCACTTCTTTAACTTGTTTGGACTCCTTCCTCCTTTTCCTTGATGCATTTGCTTCAACCAACTGCTAGTTTCATGTTCGTCTGCAGCTTGGCTGTAACAAAGGCTAAGTATGTGTAACTTACAGTGCATTCCTGTACATGTCTGCCTAGGGAAATGTCAATTGCATTTTCTTTTCCTGTTTAGCTCTTCTTTAGCTCTTATGGCCCTCTCTCTGCTTCGCCTGTATCAAGTTCCTTGGGGTAGTGAGGTAGTAACTAGTCCTCTTGTACCCTGTAAAACTCCATGTGGTTACTTGCAGTCATTCACACTATATCTGAGTAGGTTGGAAGATTCAATGCCCAGCAGGAACTGCCTTCTGGCAGTGATACCTCTTTTCTGAAATGAAATACCGGGCTATAGCATCCCAGTGCTGTCATACCTGTATCAGTAGAAAAGAGATGGCAGCAGGACCTTTCCTGTGTTTTGTACCAATGGGCATATTACGTAGAATTAACTTGAAAACTACAGATTCAGTTTGCACGTGTACATTTCCTTGCAATAAATCAGCATAGAGGGAGATGAGTTGACCACACCTTTCTCTCCTGCCCTGCTGTATTACATTAAGGGAACTTTTTACATAGGGGAGCATTCCAAAATGCAGTCACCACATCTGTAGCATAAACTAGTCAAATGCAGGCATTTCCTCTTTCATTCTGTGTAATGCATGGAGCAGATGTTATTTTTGTGTAAAACTGAATGAGGTCTTCAGTTAGCTCATACAACTCTGAAATAAGAACATGTGGATATGTGGATTATGACTGCACAGCTTGATTGCACACTCAAATTTCCATTTTTCAGTGTGTACAAGCAGTTTGCAACACCATATTTCTTTTTGTAAAATATATGAGAGTCTTAATTAGCAGATTTTGGAAACCAAGAGCCAAGAAACAGGTGAAATAAGCATCATGAGAGCTTTCTTATTAAAGAGAAAAATTTTTAGCACTTGGCCTTCTGACATTTAAGGTTAGTAATACTTGATATTCCTGTCATGAGTGACATTTGGTGAGCCACTTTGGCATTCTTATTGGCAGTAACATCAGGGAAGGTCAAAATGTACACTGGTGTCATATTACTGTGCTTAGTGCCTTCTGTATTGTATATAAAGTTGAAGAGCTTTTGTTGCATTTTCTTAATTACCAAGATACAGTGGTACCTCGGCTCATGAACACCTCAGTTTATGACCAGATTGGGTCATGAACAGAAATTTCTGAAAAATTCTGCCTCAGGTCACGAACTCCACGTCAGGTGATGATTGCGATTGTGCCTGTCTCCACCCCCTGAACACACCCGTGATCGCGCCTGTCTCCCCCTTGAGTGCACCTGTCTCCCCCCCAGCGTGCCCCACCCATCTCCCCCCCCATGATTGCGCCCGTCTGTGGCTGCGATCGCAGTCGCACTTGTGCAGTGATGACAGGCGCAAACGTGGTCATGCTGGGGGGAGCAAGAGGTGGCGGCTTTCCTGCGTGGGGTGGGGGGGATGGCCACGATCTTTGTTGTTCTTTGTCACTTTGCTTCAGATTTTTGTGATTAAAAAAAAAGTTACATTGAACCTTATGGGGAATTTGACTTGGCTCATGACCAATTTGGATAACGACCAAAGTCCTGGAACTGATTAAGTTCATGAGCCACTGTACACTATTGGAATAGTAACAGGAACCTTCATGAAACCTGTTAGAGCCTCCATTGCGTTAGTTGTGTTTCATTATGTTGTTTTGCAATAAATATTCATCGCTGGCAAACCAATGGGAAGCCAAATTTGATGTTGGCAGTTGTGAGGGAAAGGATTGGAAATAGATCTGTCAGTTTCATATTGCCATTATACAATCTGTGGTGTGGTTACACTTGAAATAATACTGTATATAGTTCTGCCCTCTGCACCTCAAAAATATTATAGAGTTGGAAAAGGCAAAGAAAAGGAGCAACCAAGTGATCAGATAGCTGAAACAACCCCGTATTAGGAAAGGTTACAGTGTGCATGGCTGTTTAGCTTAGAAAAAGGCTTTAGCTTAGAAATAGGTTTATAAAATTAAGCATTGTGGAGAAAAAGTTGTTCTCCTCTCTTTCACTGCTCGGTGAGGGGAGTACATAATTTACCTGTCATGAGGTTCCTCCTTTGAATGATCATCAGCCACAGACCATTTTCCTTACAACTTTCTTTATCACTCCCAAGTACAAATCACCCAGAACAGATTTCTGAGCATGCACAGAACAGTTTGTTGAACCCAATCTAGTGTTTACTGCCAGGAACTCTCCTTATGAACATGTGTGGGCCCCATCCTCTCTGGAGGGACTCTCTGAAGGTGAGCATGTCTCCTCTCTGTGCACTGCTAACTCAGTTGGGCCTCCTGTCTCTGCTGATGCCCTGGCCATGGGGTTGATGGCAGCAGTGGCCTAGTTTGCATCTGCGAATTCCTCATTCTTAGAGACCCCTCACGTTGGCTGTACCTCTTGACAGTTCCCAGACACTGCCTGGCTTGGCAAAGCACCTGGCCTTGATAAAACCTCCTCCTCCCCCTCCTCTTCCTGCATCTCAGAATTTTGACCTAGCCCATCCTCCCCAATCTCACTGAAATATGTTTCACTTACTTCTCCCAAACCACCTGGAGTGCAGCCAGCAGTCCGTAAGAATAATTGCCCAAGACTGCCATCCTTTTAACTCTCAACATATGAGGAGAATTTACAGTGAATACTATCTCTGTATGCTGCTCTTCCCATTTAAACCATGTTACCTAAAAGACTGTGGAAACACAATTGTGAATGATAGGTTGGTGTATGGGCTGAATGCTCCCTGAATGTGCTTCATGCCATAGTCATGCTCCCATCTACCCACACAACCTTTAGACATCTGGCTTGGTGGGGGGGGGGGTTGGGGGCTTATGTACCCACTGTAGGCTTGTAATTGTGACATGTGGCATATAGGCTGCTGGTTTCCTAGCTGTGCGATTTATTGATATAGTATGTACCTATGCCAGTGACGTTCAATTTCTAGGTGGCACCATCAAGGAACAAAACCTTCAATTGTGCAGCAGAGATATTTAGGCATAGCAAGGACATTATGCAGAAAAATCAGAGAGAGATGTAATATAAAAGCATTGAATATCTATTATTTTAACTCAAAAAATATTTTCATATGGGTGGAATTAGAGACAAAATTATTGCTGTACCTTGATTTTAAAACATCGGTAAAGCTGCCAGGGGAATTGATAAAACTCATTGGGCTAAATCTTACCTATGAGCTCTCATTTGACAACCCTGATTTATACTGACTTGATGATGAGTGCTTATAGTTATTTTTCTTCTCCTTTTCCTGTAAGATATGGACCTTGATAGCAGGCTATCTATTGACTGTGTTGTTCAAGTGGAACCCAAGCACTCAACGTTATTTGAGAACAATCTCTGTTCCTGTTTGGATTATACTGCTCTTCCACTTGGGTGAGTGAGTGCACAAAAGTATCTACATATACAAAATCTTTCTATAGATATCTGAAAGAGGTCAAGCTTGGTAAGCTTGTGTTGGCATATTTTGCATTTATATTGAGTAAGTGCTGTAGTGATTAGGTTCTTGGTTCTTGGTGAAGATGAACACAGTAGAATTGTCCTAGGCTAAAGTACAAAGCTGTTACTATAATTATCATTGTTTGAGGCTGAAAGAGTGAGTCGAGTATACAAGAAATGAGCTTCAGAAACTAGTTGGATATTGTCTTTTTAATACTTAAATAAAAACTAATGTTTAAATTCTGTTTTCAGAAATAAATATAATCAAAATTGTTCATTGAGGATCCAGTTTCTTGAAATGTGCTTCATATTCAGTGCAACTTTGAAGTGCAACTTTGAAGAGCAATTGCATGCACTTCAAAGTATTTTGCAGTTTTATCTTTTTGTTTTGTCTGTTATGGTGTACAAATGCAGAAGAAAAGTACAGGTTACCAAGTTTGGATGATATGGGCAAAAGCAGAAACTTTCAGTCTTCTTTGGCATTGCAAGATGAGAAAAATAGAGGAGGAAACATACAAGCCCAGCATTCTGGCAAACATATTCCATGTGGTAGGAAACCATGGTTCCTGTTCTGTCCTAATTAGGCCACAGCATTAGCCTATTCATAGTTCTTGTTGTTGCTTACATTGGGATATCATGATTAAACATGGTGTTGGTTTTTTTACCTTTTATACTAGCATTAACATTTTTCTGTTCCCTTCTTAATGCTTTAGCCAAATTGCCAAATTCAAGTCTTTGTTCCTCATAAAATGACTAGAGCTCCATTTATAAGTCTTTTTAAATCAAATCATGTATTGTTTCTGTTTGAGAAATTTGATGCTTTGCTTCAAATAAAACAAAATTATTTTGGCCTGGTTTTTATCCAGTTCTGATTATTTTTTAACATAAAAAGTAACTTATAAATGTCTTCATTGTGTTCCAAGTATGATAAACTATGGAGTGTACCTAGTGCCCCTCCAGGCTTCCATGCTCCCATTCCCCTGTCCATCCCTGGTGTAACAATGACATCAGAATGTTTAATTTCTGTTTAATTACAGTTTAAAGTGGTCTCTAAAATCTAAACTGGTTAATTTAGGCTGATTTCTGTGGAAAAAAACCAGCATAATATTCCATAGTTTGAAGAGTTTGTGTGTCAATTTAGGCTTGGTAGGCCTGTAGGGGGAAAAAAGTTTTTTTAAGTCCTATAGTCATTTTAATATGTTAGTATTACTCTTTGTACAGAAATGAGAAAAGTAAATAGATAATTCCCTTCAACTGAGTAATTCGGCATGTATTCTCAATGGGCTGATGAAAATGGCCTCATTTTCCCTGGTGAACTTTTTAATCTGAAAAGGTTATGTTTTTTTATATGCACTGAATGACATTCGGAGAAAGTAGATTGATAGGATTTTGTTTTTCTACTGCTAAATAATTGCACTATGTTTAAAAAAAACCTGACTCTTGTAAGACAAGAGGCAACTTTAAGAAAATATTATCTTACTTTTTTTGATTTATAACAAGGTTCCTCTGAATACCTAGCAAGCAGTGGACTTTTTAAAATACGTTTTGACCTTGTGTCTACTTTATGCATACCATTAGCTAAAAGAATGCAGAGGTTATTAAAGGAAAAACACTTTTTCCAGCTTCTGTGGCAGGCTCTTGGAGGATTCCAGTGTTTTTGGTTATTGTTGTCTTAATGACTGTGGGAATGTTACATGAACAACCAAGTGAGAAAGAGTCTTCAGGTAAGAAACAGTTTACTTTTATTGTTGTTTCATTTATGGTATCTCATTGATAATGGAATTAGTTTTGTGATATACCTCCTATAAATTCAGAGGACATCTTGCATCCTTGTAGAGGTTCTAAGGGAAGGTAGGCACTAAAATTGAATGTCTGAGATGCTATTAGAAAGATTGATGGTGGTTTCAGTCTAGAAGTGGCAAAAGAACCCTTCAGCAAGGAAGGCTTTAAGTCTGCACTTTTGAATTAAATGCTGTCTTGTACTCAGACCATTGACTAGTGTGGCTTTTCCCAGCCTGGTATCATCCATATGTGTTGGACTACAACCCCTATAATGCCTAGCCAGCTTTGCCATTAGGGCTGATAGAAGTTGTAGTCCAGCCTGTCTGGAGGGTACTAATTGGAGACTTTTCCCTAAGTGGTGATACAATGACTGAACCTGAAATCTACTATTGTACCGAGTTACTAAGCCAGAGATAAATTTCCTTCAATACTGAGTGACTTCCTGGAAGCAGAATATTGAAGGTACTGGTAGTAAGGCTTGAGAGCTCATCTTTATTTATTCCTCTTGGTGGAAGTTCTTCCCTGTATTCTTTCCTCTTTTCCCACAGCATACTTTTGCTCTTTTGAAACTTCTTCAATTTTTCATTAGAATTTTTTTTGGAGGAAAGTTCAGGTTAAGCACTATAATAAACTCACTAATGCCTGCTCTATAGGATCTTATTTGACCATTATCTAAACTTGTTTATAGAGCAGAATAGTAAGGATTTCTTTTCTTTTTATATGAAATATTGTTGCTAACTTTTAAAAGAATAAATAGCAATGAAAATTTCAGGATTTCAGATGTAGATTTAGTGATGTTTTGGATTACTTTGTATAGTAAATAAAAATCACACGGAGAATGTTTAGTGGATTAGTTGTAAGATTCCTTGTCCAAAAGAGAAATTTCACCAATCACTATCTATTCTTAGGGGTTCTTTTTAAAGAAATTTTGATTTATTGTTTTAGTATTGGCTTCACTGAAGGTTGTATTTCTTAATGACTCAGTAAATCTCAGGTAGCTTTGAAGAATATTAATTCTGTTTAGATACGACTGATAGCGAACAATACCTGAGAAAATGTAATTTTCTGCCACTGATGTAAAAATCCATCCTGAAATGGTAGATGTGAGGCTGCTACCAGTTGTCAGTTTTCTAGGAGGGAATTAAATTTTATTAAGCTAGCCTTCATGAAACTTTCAGAGTCTGAATCTACCTGACCTTTTGAATGTGTGCATATTGTTTTGTGCTGTATCAATTGAACTGTAATAGTTTCAGCTAAAAATGGGCAGCTTATTAAAACGTAATTGAAATGCTTCTCAATTTTTTATTTCCCTCCTTAACTATTTATTTTTAGGGACAGAACTTCCTGGTCAGATGATTTTCATTGCTGCATCTACAATTGCCATGGCAATATCAGTTACAGGGTATGAATCAAGCACTGAAGAACATCCATCACAACCCTCAGGTGACTGAAAACTCTGTAAGAATACTAGAACTTTCTCAATATGGTTTGTATGCTTCAACTGAATCTTTGAATTAATCTTAGTATGATTGCTGTCAGGTTGTTCAACCCAAACCAGTAATTGCTGCTTAAATTAATTAGTTGGTTGCAGGATTTTACAGATTACATTGAACCTTATGGGGAAAATTGGCTTGACTCATGACCAATTTGGGTCAGTACCAGAGTCTTAGAATGGATTAAGTTTGTGAACCAAGGTACCACTGTACCCATTTTGACCTTGTTGTCTTTGGAACTGCATGTTGAAACTAGTATTGTTCAGGATGTGTAAGGAATTCGTGGGAACAGCAAAACAGTTTGCATAGGTTTATAGCTGTGTTCCCAGTTATCCTGGAACTGGTTATGACTACTGATGTTCTTCTGAATAGCAGTTCAAGTTTAAAGATTGATAATCTACCACAAAATATGTCTTACTGAATGTTTCAGAGATTATTACTATTACTATTTTTCTTCCAGCAAGCACAGAAAGTGATGATCCTTCATCCACTGTGACTGGCAGACAGAGACCTGAGATCAGAGCACTTCTTAAAAAGAAGAAAACCAGTGACATCTACTTTGTTCTACTTGCATGGGCCATTGTAATAGTTCAGATCTGGTCAAATCTCTGGATTATTCAGCTGCTTCCAGTACCTATTGCAGGTTATTAATTTATGTTCTTATATTATAAGGTGAAAAAATGTTCTAAAATATGTGAAAGAGGAAAATTCAACTCAAGTTATGTTAACACTTTGTGGTGTAGTGGTTAAGAGTGCAGGTCTGGGATTCAGGGGATCTGGGTTCTAGTCCCTTCTCAGCCATGGAGCCAGCAGGGTCATTTTGGGCTAGTTACAGATACTCTGCCCAACCTCCCTTACAGCATTGTTGTGGGGATAAGATGGAGAGCAAGAGGAGGAGAATGATGTCAGCAGCTTTGAGTTCTTTAGAAAAGAAAAAGGCGGGATATAAATCTAATAAGTAAATAACACAAGCATGAACTGCTGAGGAAATTCCCAGTTGTTTTTCTCTACTGCAGCCCACTGCCATGGGTTGTGAGACCCACAAGAACACTGGGCTGTGGTACAGAGAGGAAATTAAAAGAGATCAGTTCCTCATAGGAGCCTGCTGAATCTGCCTTCTAACTCAAGTGCTACCTTGCTAAATAGAAGGGGAATGCATGTATAATATGCTTTTGAGGATCCATAGTAAGAGGTAGTAGTTGAGTTGGCATGGACTCTATGGAGCATAGATAGCAATTTCCTAATGGAAGGGCTGTAGTACAGTTCTTGTACCTTTATAGACCCTTTGACAGGAAAGGATCTTCAGTGCAGTGGCATGACTTGCTTTAGGCCAGCCATTTAAATCAAAATGTACTTTTGCTTTTTAGGTAGGTTAACAGATGAAAGCAAGATTACTTGACCTTTAGAGGGTTAGGTTGAGGGGCTGGGTAAACTCAGGTCAAGTTACAAATTGTATTCAATTTTTGTTAGTTAACCTGTTGCTTTTCCAGTTCATTATGGCATTGACAGTGCTGAGATCCTAGGTTTTTGCTTTCCATTTGCTATTTTAACTCCACACATAGCCTACTTTGCCTGGCAAATATAAGTTTCTTGTTTCCCATTTTCACTCCCTTCCCCTTTGTTTTGTTAAATTGAGTCTGATCTTGACTTCCATTCTCTGTCCAGTGATACCTTGTATTGACCAGCCCCTTCTTACCTTCATCTGGCGCACCTGCTTCCAACAAGGCTAAATGCTGCACTGGTTTGCACTCCCAGTTGTTTATGGCTTACATGACTAGAAAACAGTTGACCATAAAACCTTACTGGGGTCATAACACCTTCACTTCAAATCTAGGTAATGTAGGAACGGAAAAGTTGGTAATCTCCTATTGCATGTACTCTTAATTCTTACACCCCATGTTATTTGGAATCTCACAAAGCAACTTCCATTTTTCTCTTACTGGTTTTTCATCCAGACACTGATGGCCTGCATATGCTTAGCTTTTACTATATACAACAGTATTTTTGTAGAATTTGCTGAGTTAACAATGCATACACATGCATAGCTAGGTTGAGTTGATCAGATCTCAAGAAGCCATGATATGAACCACCATTTTGTTTTCACATGCATCTCCTTTCCACCTCTCTGGGCATGCCTGAAACTTGGTTAACCACAGTTTCTTATTTAATCAAAACCACGAAGCCATCAAGATTTACACCAATTTCAAATTATGGTTTAAAATCAAGATTTTTTCCAAAGTTGGCAACCAGTGGGGACTTATACATATCATTCAGACATGCATAGAATGCTATGGAAATGTGCTATGTAAAAGGCTTGTTATTAAGTCAAGATATGAGTGTGTGGACTCAGTCTCCTTTGTCAGGAGAAGTCTGCACATTAGTGCATTATGGCACTTTTGTATGTGCCGTACTTTTGTATGTGCCATACAAAGTCTTGTTTTAACTCTAGAATAGAAACGAAACTACTGATCACAAACTTTCTCTGTTTGAAGGATTTTGTTTCCTTGTTTTCTTTGTTTCAAAGCTCCTGTGAAACCCTATCCCTAACCAAAACATAGAGGCTGGAATGCTTTTTAAAAAGAGCTCTTCTAGGAGGGTTGAATTGGATGGTTGATGTACAAGACGGACAGTGGTAGAACAAGAGTATGGTCCTGTGCTGAAACTGTATCTATATATAGTTTTATGGAATAACAATAGTTTACTTACAGTGTAACATGGCAGTAATGAGTTGTATCTAGTGGTGTTGTTCTGCCAGTGCAAAACTTCTTCCACTTATGGAAGCCTGATTTTCATCCTTGTGTAAGTTTCAAATTTAACAGTTGGATTCTGCTTGTGCAATGCTGTTCCACAGCTGTTTCTTTATATATTTATACATTATTTTTCTAATCTGCCTAATAATTAATGTTCTCTGGGTGGATTCCAGATAGATACTAAATGCAATAAAAATAACTAAATGTAAAATAGTGTACAAAAATTAAATATTACAATACAATGTAAAACTTCATGTTGCTTATACTTGGTGTTCTGCTGGTGGATGTACAATCACTAGTGGAATAACATTGACTAATTTAGTTTTTCCCCATTATACCATTGGATATAATTAAATGTAGTTCATTATATTGTTTTTGGCATTGTGGTACCACTACTGCTGGAGTAATGGGGAGGGAAAAGATGCAATTCTATCCCCCACGCCCCATCCCAAAACTTTTGCTTCTGCTGCTTGTTAGGAAAGGAAGTCTGAATAACTTCAATAAAGTGCAAATTACAGTATCAAAGAATCTGGGCTGACTTCCAGCAGCAAAGAATTACAGTGGTACCTTGGCTCACGAACTTAATCTGTTCCAAGACTCTGGTTGTGACCGAAATTGGTTGTGAGCCAAGTTAAATTTCCCCATAAGGTTCAATGTAAATAAGGTTAATCCATTCTGTAACTATTTTTTTTCAGAAAAATGTGAAGCAAAGTGACAAGGAACAGCAAAGACCACGGCTATCTCCCCGCCCCCCCCCCCGCATCCCGGCACGTGTCCATCATCCTGGCACAGTGAAACAGGGGGAGATGGGCGCGATTGTGGGCATGCTGGCGGGGGAAGACGGGTGCGAACATGGGCATGGTTGCGGGGGGGAGATGGGCATGATCATGCTGAGGGGGAAATGGCAGAGATTGCGGTTGCAGTCATGCATGAAAGACGGGCGCAATCACAGGCGCGCTTGTGCAGGAAAGACGGGCATGGTCTGGCCATCTCCCCACCGCCCCCAGCACAATCATGGCCATCTCCCCACCTGAGTCAAAATTTTTATGAAATTTTTGTTCACGACGCGATTTGGTCATGAACTGAGGCGTTCGTGAGCCAAGGTACCACTGTACTCCTGGCAGTTGATTCTTCTGCATATGATCATGAATGCCATGGTGTTTTTCTGAAGAGTTATCAAAGAGCTTAGGCTATTATTTCAGATACAACACAAAGTGATGAAGAAACTCTGTAGAGCTAATTTGGGGGCCATCGATCCGGCCAGATGCATTATTGCAGGATTATGCATAACTTTCCATTTATTTATATAACAGTGACCTAGGGTACTGCTTTTTCTGTTGCAGTATAAGAACACTTCATATGTTGTCAATATATCACTTCATATGTTGTTTCTATATTAGAGTCACCCCCTTGAGGTCGAGGGGCTCCTCAGGGCATTGGACATTACAAAGGCACCAGGCCCTGATGGGTTACACCCGAGAGTACTTAAAGAGTTGGCAGGGGTTCTCTCACGCCTGCTGGCCTCCATTTTTGAGGCCTCGTGGAGAACGGGTGAAGTCCCTGAGGACTGGAGGGTGGCAGCAGTGGTCCTAATTTTAAAAAAGGGTAGTAGAAGAGACATGGGGAATTACAGATCTGTTAGCCTTACGTCCATTGTAGGAAAAACAATGGAAAGGCTCATAACAGAGAGAGATCCAGTGATGCTAGATAGGGAAGGGAGGCTGACAGCCACACAAAACAGCTTCCGCAAAAACAGGTCCTGCTAGACAAACCTTGTGGAAATCTATGACAAGGTTTCAAGATGGCTAGATGGAGGGGATGCAGTGGATGTGATATACCTGGATTTCAGCAAGGCCTTTGACAAAGTGCCCCATGATATCCTGGGGGAGAAACTGAGGAGTTTTGGGATACACCAAAGCACAGTCCGGTGGATTAGGGCATGGTTGACTGACCGAAAGCAGAAGGTAACCATTAGTGGGGAATCATCGGGATGGCGGCCAGTGACAAGCGGGGTCCCCCAGGGCTCTGTCCTGGGGCCAATCCTGTTTAATCTTTTCATCAATGACATGGAAGAAGGGGTGAACAGTCTGCTGATCAAATTCGCAGACAGCACTAAAACTGGAGCATTGGCCACAACTGAGGAGCAGGTACTCCAGATCCAAAAGGATCTGGACAGACTATGGAAGTGGGCAGGAGACAACAGGATGGCGTTCAATGTGGATAAGTGCAAGGTCTTGCACTTGGGGCATAGGAATAGGTGTCATAAGTACAGGTTAGGTAACAAGTGGCTGGAGTGCAGCACTTGTGAAAGGGACCTCGGGGTACTGGTTGACTGCAGGCTAAACATGAGTCAGCAGTGTGATGCGGTGGTCAAGAGGGCAAACGCCACCCTTGGTTGCATAGCCAGAAGTGTGGCTTCTAGATCAAGAGAGGTATTACTACTACTCTATACAACTCTGGTGCACCCGCAACTGGAGTATTGTGCTCAGTTTTGGGCCCCTCGTTGCAGGAAGGATATAGCCAGGTTAGAGTCAGTGCAGCGTAGGGCCACAAGGTTGGTGGCCGGTCTGCAGGGGATGGGGTATGAGGCGAGACTGAGGGAACTGGGTCTCTTCAGCCTGGGGAAGAGGAGACTCAGAGGGGTATGTTGGCGACATACAGGTATGTGAGGGGATGTCACATGGAGATGGGTAGAGACCTGTTCTCCCCTGCAGAGGAAGGCAGGACATGCTCCAACGGAGCAAAGCTCAGGGAGTCAAGGTTCCATTTGGATGCCAGGAAGCACTTCCTGACAGTCAGGACCCCGAGGGTGTGGAATGGGCTTCCACAAGAGGTCGTTGAGGCCCCATCGGTGAGGGTATTCAAAGATAGGCTGGTCGTGCACATGGTGGGCATGTCGTGAGCAGAGCCGGCTCGTGCTGGAGGTCAGACTAGATGGCCCGGGAGGCCCTTTCTGACTCGCTCTGTTTCTATGTTTCTATGTCAAATCATTTGTCTTGCCCTGGCAAACAGTGTTGTGTGCTCAGAAATCATCATTTGTCATTTATTCTTTAAGAATATTACAGTCAGTTAAAACCTTGCAATATAGCATAGCTTTTTGTTGCTATAATTAAATTTAGCTTCAAGAATATGCCTGTGTTAGATTTTTATCCCAATAAATGAATTTTATTGCTTCTCATAAAATTACCCCTGGAAACTTTGGTAATCTCTGTTCCCAGTGGATTGGATTTGGACATGAAACAAACCAGCCTTGAAGCAGCATGTCTCTTATTAGTTAGTGTCTTATTAGCAAGTTGTTTATACAGTTTTTAAATGAATTCAGTATTTAATGTTTCTTTGATTTTTACACATATGTTTGTGTGAACTATGTCATCCTGAGGCATGGTAGGTTCATTCTTTCCGGAATGACTAACAATGTGTCAGATGGACAGTTTGACTCAGTATGGGTTGTTCTCTCCCTCCTTCCTCTTGGGTCCTCCAGCCAGTATCCTTTGAGGCAGAGCCTGTCTTGTCTTGCCTTCCCTGCTCCATTTGCGATCCTATTTTTGCTTGCAGTCATTTTTTTCAGAGACAAAGAAATGTATTTCAAGTCATGTTAAAGCCCCCCACCCACATTCTGCAGGTGTATGTGTGTGTTGCAGCTCCTGTAAACTTAGCTTGTATAGTCATATACATTTGTTATTGAATGTATGGTGGAATTCTGTGTGTATATGCAGTTCAGTAGTATGTATGTTATGTATTCTTGCACTTTTTGCTCTCTTGAAATCTAAAGCATTTCATCCTGGGTTGTTTCTTTTTCAAGCAGCACACATGTTGCCACTTCAGTGAGCTAATCAGAAGCAAGTCAAATTTCTCAATTAACAAAAATGTACATTTGTTTATGCACAGTTCCATGAACAGTTACAGTAAAGGCTGAGAAATAATACATCTTTTTTTGACGTACTATGTAGATTAAGTTTTGGACTGTATGTCTTGCACCCATAGTACAACGATAGGGTTAGGGTTTACCTTAGTTTGCTTAAATATATTTATACTATATAATTATTTACTGTCAACTGAGTCTTAGATTAGAGCAAATCAGGGCTTTCTCTAGAGGCAAAAATGGCAAAACTGAGGCTGTCTTACTTTTGACACATCATGAGATGGCAAAACTTCCTGGAAGACAATCGTGCTAGGAAATGTTGAAGGTATAAATTCCCATTTTAATCCCTGTTTTTCATTTCAGTATGGCTTGTCAAGAAACTTGTAGTTCACTTTGGAGTAGTGAATTTCTTGGTGAGTCATTGCAGCAGCTGGTGGTATGTCCTGGAAGACTTTGTCAGAGAGCGCCAGGAAGCTCTTGCACCACGACCAATCATGGGGCTTGGAAGAGTCATTTTAAAACTAGACAGTAAGGTATTTACTTTTTCACATGCTTAAGTTTTTGTAATGCTGTAGCATCACATGTTTTCCTTTAGACCACTCTGCTACCTATTCTGTCATTTTCAAGGGATGGGAAAAGTTAGCTTTTTTGCACACTTCAGAGTACCTTTCCAATGCTGTAGAACTTATCCAGTCATGGTTCTGCAAAAGTTTTTGCTCTCTAAACTTTTATTTATAAGATTTCTATATTGCCTTCAGGATCATTTACAAAAACTAACAACCTCCAAAAATAAATTAAAAACAATGAATAAAGAAAGAGCCCGTGTACATGCAGTTCTTGGTTATACAGCATTCTCTTACAGCAGGGATAGAGAATCTCAGGGCTAGGGGCCAATTCAGGCCCTCCATGGATCTCAGTTTGACCCTCTGGTATTCTTCAGAGGCCTGTCTTTTCCCCCCAGTCATCAGTTGTTTGACACCTTACTGACTCTTGTGCAGTAACCCCCCACATTGAAATGCCCCTCCTAAGGCATTATTGCTGCTAATATCTTTGGCCCTCTTTCAACAACTGGAGTGCAATCCCTGAGAGTTTCTTCAAAGTGGAATTCAGCCTTTGGCATGAGATTCAGTACCCCAGTTTTATAGGCAGGCTGTAAAGGGCTCAGAAAATGCAGTGCGCTACAATCTCTTATTGACCAAGCTGTGGAAAAGCTGATTCTAGAAGACAGTTGAGGGGGAATTGGACACAATGGAGTAACTAGTACCCAAATAAGCAATAAAATAATTTCTATTTCCTCCCTGCCTCATGCTGCATCTATAAATATCAAGTAATAATCTCAAATCATCAGCATTTTTCCAGTATTCCATCCCCATTTCCCTTTCCCTGCTCTTCTGAGTTTTTCCAGTTTTTTTTCTAGTCTGGTTAGCCACCTAATAATTAGAATAGGATTAGAAGTATCTCATATATGCAAATGAATGTTGTAATGCAAAAACCGTTTTGTATGAGAACTAGAGCTGGTTAACATAAGTCATTAAATTGGACTGACCTGAATCAGAATAACTTCAGCCATAGGAAGTCCAAACCCTGAATGTTGTCTAACATCTAATCTCTCATATACTCTGCTTGGATTGAACTTGATAAAATATTTTTATTTATGTTATTATGTTTATGGTCCGCTGAATAAGCTATACAGCATGGAATGTTTGTAGAAGAAGCCATGGCGAGCCTGAGAGTCAATTGAGCTCAGTGATAGTTGGTGTTGCACACTTGCACAATTGTGAACCACTTGAGTGCAAGCGGAAATCTTGAGTGCAAAAAATTGTGTGCCAATGGCAGCCACTTCAGTGTGCTGCTTGGGCATTTTGAGGGGGCTGCCAGTGGCAGTCACTTTGGAAATTATGAAAATGGAAAAATGGAAAAAAAACCCCATTGTGACCACAAAAGGGGTCATGGTTGGCACAGGGAGCCCAAGCCAGTTAGTGATAGTTGCTCCAAAGGTACATGGTGGTTTGACTGCTTTTACCAGGTGGCTTGCTTACAACTTCCTTATATCTATGGAGGCACCTCAGTTCAGGTGACAGAGCAACCTGTTGTGGGCACAACAAGCCATTGGATGGCAAGGTGGTTTATTGCTCACAAGCAGATCTACTTGCAGGAGGCAATCTGGGTTTGCATGACACTACATTCTACTGTGGATAGTTACCTACAGTGGGTTGCCGTGCTCTGCAAAGTCTGTGTATGAGATGCTCTACCAACTCCCCCCAATCCCCCCCAAACCAGAGTGATGAATGCTGAAGGGTGTGTGGTATAATATTTCTTCACTAATGTATAAGGACTAGCTATTCTTTATGCTGTTCTTGAGTTAATGCTGTGTAATCATCTGAATGATACTTATTTAGATTTCAGTCACTTTCCTGTTAAAGATATAGAAAAACCTACCCTTGATTTTAATCATGCTGAACTGCATTCTAGGCAGTCAGAAAAGTAAAAAAAAGTGTATGTGGGAGAAGATCAAATTTGACATTGATCCTGCATATGTTAACAAAAAGAAAGTGGATTTTTAATACAGTCCTGTATTGAATATGTTGGTGGAAATCAACTTGATACAGAAGATGGTGTTAGTTCATTTAAACTGTAGTATTTTCTGCATGCAACAGATCTCTGGATCAATCTTATGTAGTGCTTACACATGACTGCTGGGCTTTTTACAGTTACAACCATTTGTTGGAGAAAGAACACTGACTTTTGAAGCATATATACCCTCATGATAACTGATTAGAAGCACAGGGTATATAGGGTAGTATCTACTAGTATCTAATCTCAAGCAGAAGTAAATATGCACTGTAAAATGAAGCAGAGAGTTAATTTTTAGCAATTTTGTAATGTTATTGTAATTGAATACTATTAAATTTACGAATGTGTGCACCCACCCCCCACCCCCACACCTCCTTCCTAGGTATTAATATCTCATGCAATATGATTGATGAATGAAAGTCAATGCAGCTTAAGTTTACTTCCCATCTTCATTTTCTGAAGGCATTTCAGTTATGTTTAAGATGGTTTTTCCTGCAGAAAGCATCAGATTTTTCATTCAGGTTTGTTCCTCTTCCTCTTAGAAAGAGAATTTTTGTGCTTGTTGACACCAAATTGCAATGTTGGTGTTCCAAGTTCCCTAGTTTCCAATTATCCAGCAGGCCCTTCATCTGTACAGGCTATATTCACTACAACACTGAAAAGAGGAAATAGTTCATAACTTAATAGTGTTGAGCATCTATTCCTATTCCAGACATGCTGCATGTGGCATACTGCACTATTCTTCAGGGAGATACCGGATTTTTCCGTCTATTAAGACGCCCCCATGTATAGGACGCCCCCCACTTTTCCTACCCATCTCCAGCAAACAAGCTGCTGCCACGCACACGCTGCCCCCCTGCCCGTGCATGCTGCCTCGCCACCCCTGCACGCACCATTCTCTCCCCCCCACCCCGTGCACCTGCGGCCCCCAGTGTATAAGATGAACCTTCATTTTTAAGTAAATATTTTAAAGAAAAAGTAATGTCTAATACACGGAAAAATACGGTAATTTCATTTTGTCACTTTATCCTGTGTGAATCACCTTTTCGTTAATTGTACAGCAACATGAACAGAGAATATGGGCTAGATAACCATAGGCTTCTTTTCTGTTGAGTAGCCCTAGGGACCAATAATTTCAAGTACCACTCTCCAGTATAACTACTGTTGTTACTACTATTACTACTGCATTATGACTGTGAAAAGCCATAATCAGGCCTATGTGCACTATTCAAAGCACATATATATTTGGAAAATATGCTTTTAAAAAGATTTAAGTAATTGGCAGCTTGTCATTTAGATGAATAAAGAAAATGTGTATAAACATGTGGTGTTTTCATTAATTATGGGACAGTGAAAAGAGTTAACAGTTAAAGCTGTGTCCTCTGAAGGGAGTTGCATTCCAACATTTGGAGGACCACAAGCTTCTTAGATCAATCAATCATAGTCAAAGAATACTGAAATCTGTTCTTGTTCAAGATTGCTGAATGCACACAAACCAGGGAACAATGTATAATTTGAAAGGAAATGGTAATAACAGAACAGGTTTGTTAGCACTAATGCATGGGAGAAACAGTGACCAGGAAAAGAAAAGCAGTGAACTCCACAAAGTGCTACAGAAAAAGCTTTTACAAAACAGACAAAAGGATTTCAAGTACCTGTTTTGAGCATGGCAGCTCTTCATCAGATACAATAGCTACTTTGAATGAAGAATGCCTTCTCAAAGGACAAGGAGACCTGTTGGGCACAACAACTTTTTTAAAAAATGATTTAATCATGGTTTACCATGATTAAGGACTGGTGGGGTTCTTTTCTTTCCATTTACTGGCAATACCAGAATATCCCTGAAAGCTGATAGAGAGGCTTGAGTAAAGAGATGCCTGTTTCATGAATGGGACAGAAAGCAGGCCCTTTATCAGGTGCATTGACAAGATTTTCTTTACTTCCAGGTTAATTTGTTAGTTGGGGTACCTGCCTTCCTTGGGTATCTTTACTCACCATTAGAAAATGGGTACTTATTCCTTCTGTAACTCCTGCCATCCCTTTTCTGTGTGTACCCTAGCATGGTTGAAAGCTTGTCTAGATAATGATTCTGCAAGAAGTGATTTTGGGAGATACTCTGATGTAGATACATACTGTATTCTTAGATAGCATATTAATTATAATAGAACCATTTTAAAGAATAACATCCAAACAACTTCCAAGGTAGTTTGTCATGTAGAAGTAATATTGTTGCATATATTTTGATTCATAGTACTCAATAACCTTTAGCTAAAGAGACACCACTATCAATCAGCAGTGCTGTCTAGTATTTGTTGGTACATTATGTGTTTAACTTTTTTAATATCATACAATTTTCTGGTTGAAGAAATTGTTTTGATGGTATCAGCCACTTCTTTCCTGCTGTGATGAGCCTCTGAGTCTGGAATGATTTGTTACATTCCTTGGACAATTTTGTGTGTTTTGTTTCATCTTTGCACTACAAATGCATTTTCCAGTAATTCCTCACTGTCTTGTCTTTTTCTCTTCTCTGTTCTCCCATTTTCCTTTCCCCAAGCTGTGGCATTGGCTTAATAAGAAGGTAAATAAGCTGACAGTTTGTTTACAGTTAATAGATTTTTTGTACCCTTTCTCAGCATGAAGGGTGACTTGTTTTGTTTTGTTTATAACACAGTTTGCTCTTGATTTGTATTGCAACTGTTTGATCATTCCAGGTCATGATATAAGCTACAGAAGGTCATTCAAATGTCACTTCATTTCTTGATACAAAAGAATTTTAACACCAGCCATTCATATTCAATAATATATGTTTCATATGGCCAAGCTGCTCTTAAGTCATAGTTACATATAACAAAACTTGAAACTAAGGAATAGATATGTAAAACTATGAGGAAAGCTAAAAAAAACTTGTTAGTTTTATTACTTATTTCTTTACTATATTTTTATACTGCCCAATAGGCGAATTCTCTGGGCAGTTCTGAACAATTACAACTGAGAAACAGTAATGTATAACACAAAAGTTAAAACTACAGGATATTTTTTAAAGATGCAGTATAAAATAAAAATGCAGTAAATTCTTGTACAATTGAAAAATTTAAAGTACAGTAACAGATTTAAAGCAACAGAAACTAAAATTCCAAAATACTTAGGAAAATAAGGTCTTTACCTTATTCTAGAAAGAAACATAGAAACAGAGCGAGTCAGAACGGACCTCCTGGGCCATCTAGTCTGACCTCCAGCACCAGCCGGCTCCGCTTACGACATGCCCACCATGTGCATGTCCAGCCTATCTTTGAACACCCTCACCAATGGGGCCTCAACGACCTCTCATGGAAGCCCATTCCAATGTAGGCACCCAATGAGCATCTCTGAGAAGCTCATTCCACAACTAGGTGTCACAACAGAAAAGGCTTCCTTCTTAGACAACAGAAAAGACCCACCTCACTTTCTTTGGCGGCATACAATTTTAAAAGTATGATAGAGTAAGGTCTATATGAGAGTTGCACAGGCCGGATATATCTACAAACTTTCTTGGCTTCCAGAAGTGCAAAGTAGGGGTGTGGGGTTGGGGAGGGGTCTTGGAAGGAGAGAAGTAACAAAAGTAACCATAGTAATAAAATGCTATTGGAGTTTATTATATGCACATGGTGGGCATGTCGTTAGCGGAGCCGGCTGGAGCCGGAGGTCAGACTAGATGGCCTGGGAGACCCCTTCTGACTTGCTCTGTTTCTATGTTTCATTGGATTTCGTGTTTTAAAAAACATAAATAACAATATAAATAACACTTTCAAATAATAATTGAACATTAGAAATTTTAGTTTTGCAGTATTGCAGACTTGCAGAAGCAGTCTTTTAATTCTGGCTAACAGTAACTGTTGGATGCTCCAGGAAAATAGAGTTGTACTTCTTGTCACCTTTCCAGGGCACCTATAACATTTATCTTTCATTTGCATCCAGCTCATTACCATGAGCTGTACTACATGGGAGTAGTACAGCCTCCTACCCCCAGCATTAGAAACTGTCTCTTTCTGCACATCGGTGGATACAAGTTACAGTTTTCAGTCACTGACCTGGTTCACATAACAAAACAGCCCAGCATGAGTAACTATGGTGGGTTGTCATTTCATCTAATTTGAAACTCCGTCCTGCATGGTGGCTTATTTTGGGGCAACAAGCAAGCATGACAGCCCATGGCAGCTCCTAGAAGTTCTTTGACCCATGATGGCTTGTCATGTTAGCTGAACCAGGAGACTGATTCCATCATGGGTTGTCAGGCTTGGCTAGTGTACTGCTCGGTAAGACCAGCAAATTCCCTGCCACTCTTCATGATATTACTCATGATAATACCAGTGATAACCTTTCACCAAGCAACACTTTTGAGCAACCATCATTGGGTTGTTGCCTTCTTTCTTTTCCATCCCAGAAAATTTCTCAATTGTATTGGTCATTTTTTAAACTATATTTTTTGTCTGTACACTTAATGATTCACCAGTGTAAGTAGTCTTGCCTTGTCAGTGGCCTTGCAAGTGTCAGCTTTCAAAAAGATATGGAATAGGTAGGAGTTGAGTCGGGATGAAATTCAATAGAATCTGTGGCTCTAGCATTCACAGACTTCTTGTGTTCAGGCCAGTCTTAGAAAGCCTAACCTAGAGTCAAGCCACAAGGAAGCCTGCAAATGCTAATGGAAGTAAGATTGTGCGACAAAGGCTGCTGCTTGCCCAGTTTTTGTAAAGGGCTTCATTTCTGGTGAACAGTCTTCTGTGTCTCATGCAGCAGGCTTTGTGCTGCACATGGCACAGGAAAGGGATGCTGCTTACACAGGGTGTGGGGCTTGATTCCTGGCAAGTGCAGCATGAAATGCTGAGTGCACAGACCTGGAACTCAGACTCAGGGCCACTACAAAGGAGTCTGGGGAGCCAAGTCCAGTTAATCCAATGGCTTCCCAAACCCCAGAAAGATTCCTCACTCATCCCTAAGTAATAGAATGACAAGACAAGACTCCCTATATAAAGATTACCAAAAAAATCAATTGTGCCTTTTTGAAGCTCTTAAAAATAATTTGAAAAATGGCAGCAAATAGAAAGGGGTAGCAACTAAAGCTGAGAATGGGAGACAAGATGGGTCCTGCTGCAAAGGACACTTGAATACCAGCTGGAAGACTAAGCAGAAAGAAAGGGAGAACAAGTCAAAGTGAGCATGATCCATTGATGGGCATACCATGGGTTGTTCTGCAAACAATCCATACTGCACAACTTATTCATGGGGTAGCTTAGTGTGATGTGCAACCTGCCCAGAGTATTCATCAATAAATTCCAATATATCAGTGAATGTGCTTTGTCCATTAAAAGTTTTCTGATTTTCCTTGAAGGATTTTGATTAGCTTCTATATTTCAGTGTACAAAAACATAAACAAGGGTGCACTGAGTAAATGTCAGTTTCTAGCATTGTATATATTTTATCACTGGAGGGCTGAGTATTTATTTCTTTTGTTAGGGACAAATAAACCTGGGACATGTAACTGGAGGAAAGAAATAATCCACTTAAGCTATGTTAGTTGTGAAGTTGCGCCCAACCCATCACGACCCCATGGACAACATTCCTCCAGGCTCTCCTGTCCTCCACCATCCCCCAGAGTCCACCTAAGCTCACACGGACTGTTTCAGTGACTCCATCTAGCCACCTCATCCTCTGCCATCCCCTTCTTCTTTTGTCGTCAATTGTTCCCAGCATTAGACTCTTCTCCAGTGAGTCCTTCCTTCTCATTAGCTGGCCAAAGTATTTAAGTTTCATTTTCAGTATCTGACCTTCTAAGGAGCAGTCAGGGTTGATCTCCTCTAAGATCAAGGGACTAGCAGGAGTCTTCTCCAGCACAACAATTCAAAGGTTTCAATTCTTCAGTGCTCAGCCTTCCTTATGGTCCAGCTTTCACAGCCATACATTACAGCTGGGAAAACCATAGCCTTGACTATACGCACTTTTGTTGGCAGGGTGATGTCTCTGCTTTTTAGTATGCTGTCTAGATTTGCCATAGCTTTCCTCCCAAGGAACAAGCATCTTTTAATTTCTTGGCTGCAGTCACCGTCTTCAGTGATCTTGGAGCCAAGGAAAATAAAATCTGTCACTACCTTCATTTCTTCCCCATCTATTTGCCAGGAAGTGAGAGGACCGGATGCCATGCTCTTAGTTTTCTTAATGTTGAGTTTCAAGCCAACTTTTGCGCTCTCCTCTTTCACCCGCATCAAGAGGCTCTTAGTTCCTCTTCACTTTCTGCCATTAGAGTGGTATCATCTGCATATCTGAGATAGTTGATATTTCTCCCAGCAATCTTAATTCTGACTTGTGATTCATCCAGCCCCACCTTTCTCATGATGTGCTCTGCATATAAATTAAATAGGCAGGGCGACATTATACAGCCTTGCCGAACTCCTTTCTCACTTTGAACCAATCAGTGGTTCCGTGACCAGTTCTCACTGTTGCATCTTGACCTGCATACAGGTTTCTCAAGAGACAAATAAGATGGCCTAGTACTCCCATCTCTTTAAGAACTTGCCACAATTTGTTGTGATCCACACAATCAAAGGCTTTAGCATAATCAATGAAGCAGAAGTAGATGTTTTTCTTAAACTCCCGAGTTTCTCCATGATCCAGCGTATGTTGGCAATTTGATCTCTAGTTCCTCTGACTCTTTGAAGCCCAGCTTGTACTTCTGGTAGTTCTCAGTCCACATACTGCTGGAGCCTAGCTTGTAGGATTTTGAGCATAACTTTGCTAGCATGTGAAATGAGTGCAATGGTGCGGTACTTTGAACATCCTTTGGCATTGCCCTTCCTTGGAATTGGAATGTAAACTGATCGTTTCCAATTCTGTGGCCACTGTTGAGTTTTCCAAATTTGCTGACATATTGAGTGTAGCCCTTTAACTGCATCATCTGTTAGGATTTTGAATAGCTCAGCTGGAATACTGTCACCTCCCCTAGATTCGTTGTCGCTAAGACTTCCTAAGGCCCATTTGACTTCACATTCCAGGGTGTCTGGCTTGAGGTCAGTGACCACGCCGTTGTGGTTATCAGGGATGTAAAGCTCTTTCTTGTATAGTTCTTCTGTGTAATCTTGCTACCTCTTCTTAATCTCTTCTGCCTCTTTTAGGTCCCTGCCATTTTGGTCCTTTATCATGTCCATCTTTGCATGAAACATTCCCTTCGTATCTCCAATTTTCTTGAAGAGATCTCTTGTACTCCCTATTCTATTGTTTTCTTCTATTTCTTTGCACTGTTCATTTAAGAAGGCATTCTTGTCTCTTCTAGCTATTCTCTGGAATTCTGCATTCAATTGGGTGTATCTTTCTCGTTCTCCCTTGCCTTTCGCTTCCCTTCTTTCCTCAGCTATTTGTAAAGCTTCCTCAGACAGCCATTTTGCTTTCTTGCATTTTTCTTTGGAATGGTTTTAGTTGCTACTTCTTGTACACTGTTGCGAACTTTCTTCAATTTAAGCCTAAATTTTGCAACAAGAAGCTCAAGATCTGAGCCACAGTTGGCTCCAGGTTTCATTTTTACTGACTGTATAGAGCAGGGGTCCTCAAACT